TGGCGGCTTGGTACTTTGGTAAATCATTACGCGTTTTTACAAGCTTTTATTTAACTCACTTCCTCTGTCTGTCTGTCTAGACGGAAACGCAGGAGTAAAAATTCGGACAGTTCTACTTGACCGATACGATTCACAGTTGGCACGTGGGTCAAGACCTGAAGACAATGCAATCTGAAACTAAATTTGACTTAATTGGATGCCTAATTAATTTTTTATGAATTAATAAAAATTTGGACCGAATTAGTAGGCATGTCTAGCCAACCACACCACACGCGTCATCACCTTCAATAGCTGCGCCATCACGTAATGGCTGCGTTCAAAAACCATTGCGCGCCTACTGAACGTGATGTTCAGTAGGCGCGCAATGGTTTTTAGTCATGTAACTCTATTGTAAATAAAACATGTAAAGTACTGAAAAAAAAATTCATAAAAAACGTTTTAATAACAAGCTTTTATGTAATGATGCACTAAAAAGTAGAAAATAAATTATAGACTACTATTTAAATAACTATAAAGAAAAGCGTGGGTGTCTTCCTTAACATTAGTAAAGGTATCCAATAGATACTAAAGTGACCCACGCTTTTCTTTATAGTTATTTAAATAGTAGTCTATAATTTATTTTCTACTTTTTAGTGCATCATTACATAAAAGCTTGTTATTAAAACGTTTTTTATGAATTTTTTCTACATGTACTTAACAGATCAGTTCGGGGTGGGATTCGGGGGGGGGGGGGGGGGGGGGGGGGGGTTCAACTTCATTCACCACTGTCCGTTCACTTTAGGTCAATTATCCAACCCAGTGTATACCTAGGTGTGACATTAATGTCGCTCTACACATTTGTGGTGGAGAGGTGCGGGGGGGGGGGAGATAACCAACTCGGAGTGAACATAGCGTCAGTTTTTAGATGACTGTTCTAAACATACATATATATTACACAAATATATATTACACAAATATATATTACAGACATAGATTTAAATAAGTAACAGTGGTATTATGACAATATTTTTTTACAGAGGGGTCCATGGGGGAGGGGGGGGGGGTGTGTAACTGTTTCATATAATTTGTAATCGTAATCACTATTGCCCAAACTGTAAGAATACTACTACTTCATCGTGATGACGTTGTTGATCTTGTCAAAATGTCCCCACCACTACGCAGTTTGCTCATAAGTAAATTTAAATAGAGGTGCCACATCAGTTGTATTCAAACTGTATATACAAAGTAATTATGTGTGAAGTTTAATGTATAACATTTTCTAATGCAATTATTCGTAAGCAAATACAATTGCCTTAAACCTAACACCCCTTTTGCCAAGTGGTACTACCATAGAGGTTTTTAAACATTGCAATGCATCGTAATGGTTATTTTTAGAATGGAAAACTGATGCAGCTGTTAATACGTGTTGTAAACGTAGACACTACTAGACTAGTACAATAATGGTTAATTGCTGCATGAAAAGAAATCTTGTGATTTACATAGGTGTGCCGACCAAAAATATTTTTTTAACAAATATCATTGTTTAAAACTTTGAGTTTAAAAAGTTTCCAAAAAGGCGCCACTTTGCTGAAAATGGCCCTGCTCCCCCCCTGCGTACGCTACTGGTAGAGTCCTTTATGTGTGTTTATTGTCGTATAGACTTTTGAATCTGGATGCAGTTCTAGTTGAGTGTAAGCATGACTAAAGTCTAATTCAGTGAATTTGTCTCCTCCTGCCAAATTCAAAGAAATTTCCTCAATGTTAGGTATAAGGTACCTATTTAGCTCTATTTGCTTATTCAGTGTGGCTTTGTAGTCTCCACAAATTCTTATAGAACCATCCTTCTTTAACACTGGCACAATGGGCGTTGCCCAATCGGAATAGTCTACCTTCTTTATGATGCCATTAGATTCCAATCTACTTAGCTCATTTTCAATTTTATTCCTCATTGCATAAGGTGGAACTCTAGCTTTGCAGTATCTTGGATTTGTGTCTTTAATGCTTATCTTCACTGTTCTATCATTTAGTAATCCAGAATTGTCAAAAACACTTTTATTTTCAGATATTACTTTATCTATTGAAGTAAGACTAGAATCTTTTCCATTGTTCAATGAACAAATACTCTCCCAATTTAACTTAAGATTACTTAACCAGTTCCTACCTAGTAATGGTGGTCCATTTCCTTCAACCACAAGAAGAGGAAGTTTAACACTTTGACCATTATAACTTACATGAACCATACACTCTCCTATTACCGGAACATTGTCACCAGTGTATGTTGTTAGACACTTGTGACATGGTTGTAGAGGCACTGATCCTCCTGTGACAGCGTCAAAATCTTTCTTTGTGATGACTGTTAGAGATGCTCCAGTGTCAAGTTGGAAGCTGATGCTCTTACCGTTGATATTAACTAGTACATTGATGGGAGCATGACTTATTGATTTCACAGAGAACAGGTTGAAATCCGGCTGCGAATCAGTTTGAGCATTTTCACTGGTCGAGTGGTTCATTGGTTGGGTTAGGTAGTCTTGGTGAGAGTTAACATAGTGCTGCTTTTGGTTGCGGTACTGTCTTGACTGGCTAGATTTAGCAACAGACGAAGACTTTGCAAAGCAGGCCTTGGCAATGTGACCTTGCTTACCGCACTTATAACAAGTTGCAGACTTGAACTTGCACCGATGAGATGCATGGGGACCTTTGCATCGATGACATTTTTGATAATTATTACTAGATTTAGATCTAGGCTTTAAACGTGCAGGCTGTTTAGCATAAGTTGGAATGCTCTGATGGGGTTGGTGTTTGTTGACTAACCTGCTGTTTACTGCATGGATCTCTGAAGACGTTAGAGATCTCGCCGCATCGGATGACTGCTGGTATGAAGTTGCTAGTTGTATTGCTTTTTCCAATGTTAGATCTGACTCGAGCAGCAACTTTCTTTGAATATCAGGGCTGTTTACACCTGTCACAAACTTTTCACATAGTCTGTCAGACAGCGTATCTCCAAATTCACAGAATCTACTTAGATGACGTAAAGCAGCAACATATTCTGATATTGACTCGTTTGGTTGACGAGTCCTACTGTCAAATCTAGCTCGACATAAAAACTTTGATGGGGTAGGCGCATGGTGGTCTGTTAGCAATTTGCTCAGCTCGTTAAAGCTCTTGGTAGTTAGACTAGCTGGTGCGCATAAGTCTTTTAGTAGCCTAAATTGTTGAGGCCCTATGACTGTTAACAAAACAGCTCTCTTTTTGGCTTCTATCGTCACGTCGTTTGCTTCAAGGTAAAAGCTTAACCTATCTAGGTAATCTTGAATGATTTCATCATTCGAATCAAATTCTTTTATTTGGCCATACAGCGCCATTATTCTAGAAATACTTAGCTAATAAGCTCTAGCAAACCTCTTTTTTGCGTAAGTAGGTGCTCTTTCTAGTAGATTATTTATCCTCGCCGCCAATGAGATAGATTGTAATCACTGACGAGAAGCCGCGTTGATTGTTAACAGTCTTTATTTACAGCCATTATGGAAAGAGGAAGGAAGTGGCGAGAGACAACTATTTATATATGTGTAAGGGACATCACTCAAGATAACAATATAAATATAATACTAATACAGAAGAGTGAGTTCCCTTGACCTCACAATTATCTCAATCTATTACAGCCTTAATGTAAAGTTTGGCTTTAGATCTAAGAAAGTAAAACAACAAATCAAAACCTGTTAATGATCTTATACTTGGAAGGTATAAAAATAGATTTAAGCCATGATTAATTTAATGTAACCCTACTGGTAATTTTTCTTTTTTAAATGATAACTATAAGATTGGGGTATAAAGGCCATCACAATCCAGGAACACACGACGATTTGTGTGTGTTTGGAGGGGGGGGGGGGGGGGGGGGGGCTAGAGAAAGAGTGATGCCACTGAGCGAGTTTGGAGCTGAACTGTTACTGTTAAATGGAGAGACTCAACTATTGTGTCGTTGAGATGATACGCATGGGGTGCAAAAATAACGTTTTGGGAAGAATTTTTTTTTTAATTGTGGGCCTAATAAAACTGATCACTAGTTTACATTCAATGTTGACCAAACTCAGTGAATATTTTAGAAAGAAATCGCTGCTTAAAATTTTTTTACAATATTGAGAGGGCTTATGTAGCTGTCTTGAGACGTCCGTCGGGGATGGGGGGTAGGTATCTTTTGTAAAGATATATGACGATGGGGTGATGGTAGTTAAAGGTGGGGGTAGGATAAGTTTTCAGACCTAACGATTCATAGGGCAGATGAAGTGTAATTCACATTTTTCTTAACCTCAGCATTTGACATTTGCTTGCTTTAGTATCAGAGTTTCTTCCAGGCGTCTCTACCGCCCCCCCCCCCCCCCCCCCCGAAAATTGAAAGTGATCTCCCCCCCCCCCCCCCCCCCCGGAGAAAAAAGTCTGGAAGAAACGCTGTTTAGTAATCAACGTGACGTGACGTCGTACTTTTAAATGTATTTTTATATTTTATAGGCTAAAAATTTAATAGACATTATATTATATTGGCCTTATGTCAATAAACTATAAACTCAATTGTGACGCTCTTCTCTTTCATTCAGGAACATTGGGTCGGGAGGTAGAATCTAGATCTAGATCCGTGCCGTAGATAATATACTAGATAAGGATAGTGAAAGCTAGATGGTTGACCAACTGAATAATTATTCACTCTTGCCATTATTACTAACGGTTATTTCTGATTCTTTTTTTCTTCTTCAAAATACTGCAGCGATAATATTTCGGGATTTCCCGAAAGATTCTGAGAAAAAAATTGTCAAGTTTCTGGTAGGCCTACTTTTCTATTAACAGGCCTCATACAAACAATCAATATGTAGATTTAAGAATGTAGTGTTTATTTATTAAGCCTCGGTAAGTGATTGCTCTTTTGAAAGAAATCTTATATTTTATATCGCGTGTGGATTATTTTGCTACACGCTATTTAGAACTACTATAACTATTGTATTGATTTGTCATATTGAGGCCTAAACGCCCCATACAACATACTACATAAATAGTGTAAAAGTAGATCGATAGGATGGTGGTCAAACTTGTGTTTCTAAGAAAACAAAACGAACACTTTTTGTTTAACACTTTAATCTATTTCCGCTAGTAACCAAGTAGGTATATCTATAGATTTCAGTTAAATGTTTTATTATTATTAAATACCTAACTTTTTTAATGTGCTGGGGAAGGGGGGGTGTGTTGGGTTTTTAAAAATCATTTATACCTCGCTACGCCACTGCCCTATATATATATATATATATATATATATATATAGAGAGAGAGAGAGAGAGAGAGAGAGAGAGAGAGTCTATATTGCCACTATAAGTTATTTTACATTTGACTGCATTAGATGCAACGTAGTAAAATTATTTTCAAGTTTTCAATTTAAATGTTATAACACATTGAAATTGAAGAATTATTTCTTTATGTTTATATAGTAATATAATAGTATTATCACAGTACCATTGAAAGTCATATATATTTTACCATAACACTCAAAATTATTTCAGTTTTAATTAAAGTAAAACACTTCAAGGTTAATAGGTTAATAAATGGCATCAAGAAAGTCTTCATCTAAAACCTATGAGTCAAAAATATTTTCTTTAAGTGTAAGTAGTATAATACAAGTTTATAATTTTATATATTTATAATTAAATATAATTAAATAAATTAAGACATTTAAAAAATAATATTGGCATGAGATATAGTAATACATAATGAAGACTTTATCTTCTAAGGCTCAAGTGTAGCAAAGGGCTGCATTCTCTGTTTTGAGCAGCACATATCAGACTAGTATTGTTATTGGCAATGTACTCATTTCAAAAAGGGCATTTTGATAAATAAAATCATGTTATGAAATTCAATGACTTTGAAAGAAAACTTTAAAAAATCAAATTTTATTTTCTATTACCGGTTTCCAAAAGTAAAGAATAGATTAAGAGATTTACATATTTTATGCTAAACATTGAATAATAAAATATTATGTGTATTCTGTATAGCTTTAAATAAACATTCCAGAATATTCCAGATTCGTACAGTGAAGAGTTTATCAAGGACTATGTGGAAGGAGTTTTAGATGTCGGAGTTTCAGAGGTTGAAATATGGCCGTACATTCCAGGGCGAGCATTAATTAAGTTAGATGAGGATCTTGGAGGTCATTGAACTTTTAATATTGATAACCAAAGGGGTCTACATTAATGCAACTTTAAATTGGATACATATTAATAACAAAGATAAGGATGAATTTATGTTAGAAACATAAAAACAAAATTAAGTATGCCAATGTAATTATCAATTTAAAAACTAATTTCATATTGTAAATTTTTGTCTTTAAAAATTAATTGATACTTTACACAAACAATTTCAATATATAGGCTAATGGTTTATATGGGCCTAAATATACATATAAAAGCTTACTTACTTAAATAAATAGTTAAAGCTATTTTTCTTTGAAATAATGTGGTTTAAAGTGTCCTTTACATTAAACCAGGGGTCTCAAAACTACGGCCCGCGGGCCGTATGCGGCCCGCGAGGTCCTCTCATCCGGCCCACGGAGATCCTTTTGTCCATGGAAAAAACGTTTGTTGGTGATGGCTGAGGAACTTTGTCCAGAACAATCAAAGACATGCCTGGAAGAAACTGGCCCCCAAACTGAAATTTGATAGTTAATGCAGCCCTCGGACTGAAAAGTTTGGAGACCCCTGCATTAAATCATGACATTATATTTAGCTAATGAAAAAAATAAGATTTTGGAAATAGTTGGACTTGTGATATGAGCTGTAATGTTTATAAACTCGAATTTTTAAAAAAATCAGTTTTATTATTTTAATTTTACATTTTTCTTTTAGACTTTAAAAAAGCAAAAAAAGCTTTGAAGCATGAGAAGTTGGAATCAATGGAAGTTAGATTGCTGCGGGTTTCAAGGCTGCCAGTGGTTCTTGTAAAAGAGCTGGATGTAAATATTCTCTCTCTTGACTTCCTGAATATGTATCTGGAGTTGGAATTTGCTAATGGAGATGAAGTTATTCAAAAGTCTTCTTCATATCCAGAATTAGAAATTGCAGTTGTTGAGTTTTGTCCAGAGCACAAAGCAGGTAAAGCTTGGGCGACTACAGTTGTCCAACAGTCATATAGCTTAAGTTACTTCTGCTGTAGGTTCTGCTAAAGAATGCTAGCTTAAGTCACTTTAACCCTACTAATAATATTTCACATAATATGTGGAACACCTGTGGTAGGCACAGGTAAAGAATAGTTTGACCCCACCTCTTCACAGTGAATGGAAAAAAATCACAGGAAAAAAAACAGAAAAAAAGGCAGTTTTTGCTAGAAAAAGAAGTCACAGAAAAAGTCACAATGAAAAAAATTTTATTGGAAAAAAAGTCAGAAATCTTTTCAGAAATATTTTGATTTTTTGTTGAAAATTATAAAATTTTGTATGTTTATTGTTGTGGGTTGTATTTTTTGATGGCATATATTATTTATAGACGTTAAAAGCATTATGGCTTATAACAATTGTAAGTAAAAATACTCTAAGATTATTTACTCTAATAACAATTTACACAACAATCTCAACTTTCGTTATGTATTTAGTTAAAATACGCTGTAGAAAAGTTAATTATTAAAGAAATTTAAGCACATCATTGTGTGTTGCATGTTTTGCCATAGGTTATTCAATGGTCCCCTCTCCTCAGTCGGCCTTGTCCGAACATATTGTGCATTGTTGACGTTTTGTGTCAATGACAGCATTTAAACCTTGTCGGGTTTCTGTTTTGATCCTATGCTTTGTTATATAATGAGCATGATAAATGTGGGCGGTAAAGATGGTTGAACTAAGCATAACTATTGTTGCGATGAGTTGAGGGCAGCAAGTCAGATGAACTTACCATTTTATTGTAATTTAATGTTAGTATTTTAATAAAAACATGATGAAAACTGAGGACTTTGGAACATTCTATTAAATGCTACCAATATTATGTTTAACATAATTTCAATCTACATACTTTACACTAAATATTTTTAGATGAATTATAAAAATTACCATGCATATACAACCTACACACATTACATTACATTTAATTAATCCTAAGTTAATTTGCACTCTCTGAATATATAATTCATAAAAGTATTAACAAAGTCCATGCAAATATATATTGGTGACTTTTTTTCCTGTGACTATTTTTCCTGTAACTTTTTTCCTACAATTTCTAGAAGGCACTCATTCATCTTATCTAATGTGTAAAGAGGTTAGAAGTTTAAACATTATCATCAATAAGCTTTATAAAAAAAAGAACAATATGGATACTTCAACTGTATTAAATAATTATAATTTTTGTCACTTCAACTGTATTTAATGATTCCAACTTGAGTCTCTTCAACTATACAAAAGAATTTTACATTAGGTCACTTCAACTGTAGGCCCTACTAACTGATTTAAAGCGAATAAACTAGAATTTCCTTTATTAAATTTTTGGGCTGCATAAGCTTGTTTTAAAATATACGAAATAAAAAAAATATTTTGTCTTTTGCTTGCAGTTGTGGATAAGATCCTGTCAAAACGTGTCCATGTACCGCTGCCATCTGAAAACTACAAGATCAAAATTTTCCCTTTCTATGAAAACTACCATGACTTTATTGATCAAAAATATTTGGGAAAAACTACCTGAAGCTGTCAAAATGAAAACCAAAAGCTATTCAAAATGTTATCGTTGTCTTTATATTACATTTCAAATTAAAGATCCTGCACTACTTTAAGAAACCTTTAAATTTTAAAAATATAAATTATTTTGTTATGCCTTCCTATTATTAATATATGTATTATCAATATATGTATTTTATATATATATATATATATATATATATATATATATATATATATATATATATATATATATATATATATATATATATATATATATATATATATATATATATATATATATATATATATATATATATTATATATATATATATATATATATATATATATATATATATATATATATATATATATGTGTGTGTGTGTGTGTGTGTGTGTGTGTGTATCAGCAACTAGAAAACCAAAGAAATGTACATTTGTTCTTGATATATGCAAGTATCAGCAGTCTCAATATTATTAGCACTAGTGCTTGCTTTGAACTTGTCCAGTATATATATATTAGAATAAATTGTTATAACTTTATATAAAGATGAGCAGTTAATTTTGTATGCTTGACACTGTTCTTCATGCTGATTAAAAATATTTATAAAACAAACATTATACTTAGACATACAACAAAATTTACTCTAATCATTAACTTGGAAATTGCCCAGATTTTGCTACTACCTTGATAATAGCTTGGTCTCTACAAGCTGACCACTTTAAAATTTCCTTGTTTGTTATTGCTCAGAAGACAATCAAGCAGTTTGAGTCAACTAGTATGACAAGTAGTTTATAAGCTATACAAGCTGCATAATATTTGTAAATAGTAGAATAGGCTAACAAATAAGGCTACAAAATTGAGGTCAGAAACTGTATGCCTACAAGAATGTGTAACTATACAATTACACAGCTACTGTATACACCCAAATTAGGCCTATAGATCCATTTGTTTTATTGTTTATGTGCAATATTTAATAGTTTGTACTTTTTAGGTTAATTGCAAATTTAAATTATCTTATTATCAATAAAAATGTTAAATTTCTTTATGTGTTATGATAGTGTTATCATATGTAGTGGGTGTAGTTCCTCTTATTAACCTAATCACAATGTGCTGAATAATTTGAGATTTTGAATGAAATAAAAAAAAATATTAAATAGAAATAGAAAATAAAAATGCCTATGACCTATTTTAGCATTATTCTTATAATCCCCCCTCCCCCCAGTGTAACAGATCAACCAGGGACCCATCGCCTTTAAATAACTGGACCATTACACATACACAGATATATATATATATATATGTATATATATATATATATATATATATATATATATATATATATATATATATATATATATATATATATATATATATATCTTTATTTATGTATATATATATATATATATATATATATATATATATATATATATATATATATATATATATATATATATTTATTTATTTATTTATTTATTTATTTATTTATTTATTTATTTATATATAGAACCATGTTGCATAGCCATGCTTTGTTACAATGTGAAAAAAATAAAGCTCTTAAAATTGTTTGAGAATGTAATTTTTCTATACAATATTTTCACCCATACAATTGCATAATGTTTCTATAACAGTTCACTCAAGTGTGTTCACATTTACAAGCTTTCTTAGAAAAACATGATATATCAACTTCCTGCTAGATAAGACATCAGAGGGAGAGAAAATGGGTTTCTGTGGGGCAAGTTAAATAAATCACAGTCAAAGGTAGAAGAAGCATTGGATTAGAAACACTGGATCTTGTCCAGATAAGCAGGGCCATAAAGTTAACCCCCTGCCACCTAAAAAAGTTTATAAGAAATAGGTTATGAAAATTGAATTTAATGGTTATTTTTTCAAGAGGATGAAATTCAGATGTCATTTTAAGTTGCATGAAAAAGTCTGTATTTTGTACCTCTAATCCCAACACCTACTCAACCCCAATCCTAACCCTAGAAGCGGATATAGGATTGTTTTTATGGTGTGCGTTTAAATATTCAAATGTCTAAGACCTCAGAAATAGGCAACAAGTGCTGTAGCTTAACTTTTTACCAGTGCACTTTTTGCATTTGTGGTGGGGCTTATCTGGACAAAACCGTATCACGCTATGGACTTGAAATCATTAGAATAGAGTTTGATTTCCTGTAGGCCCTAATTATTTCTTTGTAAACAGTTAAAAAAATAATTAAAATATTGAGTCTCCAGATACTTGATTTTGGTACTTAAAAAGTACAATAACCCCTGAGACGGGGGGAAGGGGGGGGCATGCAGAGTTTCTGCCAGGCATCTCTTCGGGGGGGGGGGGGGGGGGGGCAGAGCGAAGAAAGTCTACCCCCCCCCTGAACGAAATAGAATTTATATAGAAAACATACTTTTACCAGTGTCCGCCCACCCCCCACCCCCCTCGGAAAACGTCTGCCGCCCCGAAAATAGTATTCCCTCCCGGAGAAAAAAGTCTGGAAGTAACACTGGGGGCATGGACTTGCTCACATGGTTGTTCTGCCACTGTTCTCCCCCCCCCCCCCCCCCCCACCTCCTGAGAATAATAAAGAAGTCCTTACAGTTATATATGTAAAACAGAGAAATGGCATTTTTATATAGCATTTCCTTAAAACATAACCTTACTATCATAATTATTTGTGGCTCCTGACTGTCTGGATTTTGTTTTGGTTTTATGGCATTCAAAATTTGGAAATTGTAATTTTAAGCATAAAGATAAAGCATCATGAATGCACTTATTTCAGGGGAAACAACAGGTGTCTGGTTCTAATGTCCCCACGCCACTAAAATAGCTGGAAAGACTATGGTTTCTACATTTTTAAAGTACAGCAAGGTTACTTTCAGAAGGTGGGGGAGGGACACTGGTTAAAGTATACCATACATTTTCTATAAAGACGTGCACTCCTCCCCCTCCCCCCACCCTCACCAGACTGGAAAAAAGTGAAGCACATTATTCATGCTTAATTGATTAATATATTGGCAAATCGACCTTGGCGGAGGGAGGAGGATCATCCATCAAGGACGTCACGCTTTTTAAACGTTTTTTAACTTCCCCCCTCCCCTCCGTCACACATCGTCACAAAGAGCCAGACCCCCCCCCCCCCACCCTCAATGACGTCACACCTCAGCCTACAACCCACCCCCCTTAAAATGGCAGTTGAATATTTTTCTTAAAATACGCTATTTTTCCAAAAATCTTGTCTGAACTCTGTCAACAGAGTATTTTAATCAATTCCTAATACAATTTATTAAAACAATTTTCTAAAAAGCGAAATACCAGCTAAAATTCGTTTTCTAACCTTTCTTTTTATAATGCAAAAGTGTGAAGTCGCACCATCTGAACCCCTTACCTCTCCATCATCACACACCGTCACAAAATTACGGACCCCCCTCCCCACTACGAGTGTGGCGTTATTTAATATTTATGGATAACCCCTTGTTGAAAAAATAGGCGTTAAGCCCCTTTCCTTTTCATTTTATAGACCCTACATTATTACATTTTGCCGTTGAAATCTTAGTCTTAGCACGACGAGCTGCCTGACTGGACTGTGCCTACGGTTTTGAATGCTGTAGGCCCTAATCTCTGCAAGTTTCGGTATTATTATCTATGTCAATAAAATTCAGACAGCAGGTTTCGCTGATATATTATCTAGACTAGGTAAGATCTATTTTTACATAGTTGGTGTCCGCCCTTTACTGAGTAGGCAAGGGATCTAAATAAACGGAATCGGGAAAATCATTTGCTTTTTAATTGATACTGGAAATCTAGCATTTTAAGATTGAAATTCTCGTTATTTTTAGTTTCTAGTTCATTTTTAATTTATATTCACATATTTCGTTTAAGCGTAACAAAATCATTTAAAAACTGCTTTAATAAAACCGAGTGGCATTTCTAGAATTAAGCCTAAATATTGGGATTGGAGTAGCACTAGGAGTTGTCTAAATTTTGAATTATTCGCTCCCTTTCGTTCTGCAACGGGTTTTTCCGAAGTCTTCTAGGAAAGGCGGAGAGCTGGTTGAAGTACAGTTTTACGTGTCTCTCAGTTTCATATGAAAAGTGAATCGACAAGATCAACAGTATCATAATGTTTAACGTAGGTCTATGGTTAACTATAGTAGTCTACATCCATTGAAAAAAAGAAATCTGATTTTCTTTTCTGTAAGTACATTAAATACTAAGTATTAACTAAGTAACAAATCTAGACTAGATCTATTATTATTAGACTTTATTAGTTAAATTAATAATAATCAATAACATTACTGCACTGTATTTATACTTAACATTAACACCTCAAATTTGAACTTATGGTACAACCACATTTTTTTAAAACTTTAACTTTTTGTCTGAATTTCATTTCACAAGTTTTTATTTGGAAAATACACATTTTCCAGGAAGAAAATGGAATCTTCATAACTTTAGCCTACAATTTGAATATTATAAACTTTAAGGCCTAATTTATAATTATTAATTAAAAGCAGGATTGCATGTATCTAGATATGTTATGAGTTATGTACTACTACACTACTAGATCTATGTATGTAGGCCAGAGGCGTAGCTACCCCCCAGCTAACACAGTATGTAATACCAGGGTCGGCCCAACCTTGGCCCAATGTTGTAATCATGGCTATACATTGGACAAGCTTACGCCAGGGTACAGCCAAGATTTGTACATGCTTGCATCCCTTGATACCTTGGTATTTAACCGTTTTTACCTTGGCTGCCAAGATTACACTGATTTATGGATTCACTGCAGAAATTTTAGTTAAATATGCTTGTTAAACTTAATATATGTTAACTAAAATTAATTTATCTTTTAATATCATGCTCTAATGTAAACATAGCATCAATAACAGACTACGTTGCATGTGTTAAACATTTTGTTAATCTTTTTAAAATTGTGTGCGCTACTGCCACCGGCCCCCTGTCGCCCATTGTCCCTTTGTTCACATTCCTTCCTATTGTTCGCAAGCCAGCATCCCGGTCCTGCGCCATTTTTCTTAACAAAAGACTTTGTATCCAGTCACAGTAAAACAGGTAGGCCCACTGTAGCCATTTTAGTTCAACAGTGAGAAGTAGTATAACTGTATTTATGCAGAATCTGGAAAACTCGTATTTTTTTGTTGGAAACTTTAACTTTATGGGCCTAAGTCATCAAATAAAAGTTATAAAAGGTAGTTTATTTGAGGTAATAAAATGAGCCTAGATCTAGATCTAGATCTATATAATATTAATAATACTAGAGTCTATATTCTGTTTATTTTGGCATTAGGCTATAATTACATTTTACAATTATCTCCTTTATGATAGATCTAGATCTAGATAGATCTAGATTCTAATAATACTAAATAACTAAAAATCGTAATCAGAGGGCGGTTAATTTTGACAGCACTTTTTTTTTTGTATTGAAAAGTATGCAAGTACGTTTGGGGTTATATTGATTATTGATAGATCGATGTATTTATTGGTTTTCAACTTTAGGTATAATTATCACGCACAAGGAAAGGGGGGGCTTAAATGTTTATAAATTAATAAATAATCATTCACTTTAACTTTTTTAAAAACTTAATTTTATTGTTCTAGGCCTATTTGTGTAAGGATTTGAAACTGTCTTTATTAATTAATTCAGAGAGAGAGAGAGAGAGAGAGGAACAGTAGACACAATTATAGAACAAATTTCTACATGTTAAACAGTGTATTTTGATAGGTATTAATTTTGAAAAAAAATAGTCAACTAGAATTCTAAATTGATTCAAGATTGTCATTCAAATTTCTATTACTGTTACAGGTCCCTATGGGAGAATAAGATGTCATCATCATCACTCCTTTGTGGCCCCTGGGGAGCAAAGGGCTGCAACCACACATCTCCAGCAGACTTGGTTTTGGGCTGCTCCTCTAATCTGTGCCCATGAGAGCCCAGCTGTTTTCGCCTCCTCCTCAACCGTTCTCTTCCATGTTTTCCTTGGCCGGCCCACCCTCCTTTTTCCCTGGGGATTCCAGTCTAATGCATGTTTTGATGAATAAGATGTAAGTTGTGTAAATAGTAGTGTGGAGACCTCAGAGCAACACTTAATTTCATGACCAACAGCGATAAGATGGTACTATTAGTAAGCCATACTTAATGATCAACACTACTCATATTATCATATAGAGGACAGAGTAGGCAAATGGTTGAGGACACTATTGCTAAACATAAAGCCAAGTTAGTAGTACATTCATCAGTTCACCTAAGTCTGATATATACCCAATTTAAGAATATGAAATAAAAAAGGTGGCTAGATATAGTGTTGACTACACAATCCTTTATATACAGAGATCAAATAAACAGAGATACTTAAAAATTAGTATCTAATCTGGCTATCATTTATTGTATCACTCACTCATTTTATTATTATATTTAATAACTAAGAATGCCATTTATTTTCAGGCCTCCAGGTGTTGTGTATATCAATCAGCCCACTGGAGATATATCAATCTTTAATAAATTATAAGGTCCCCACTGCTTGATACTTCACCAAATACTGGCTACACCAGAAAATGACTAAATGTTCTTAACACTTAACAACTGTAAGTTTACATTGTTTCAAAGTGAATAATAATTTTCATTTAGTAATTTTTGCTTGCATGTATTGATCAGCATGTGTAGTTAATGCCTTTACTGATATTAGTAAAATAATTTCAGACCACAAGCATTACTTCTGGGTCACTCTGAAGGGTCTAATCGTTCAATTACTGAATTGATAAAGTTGATGAAATTGCTCAAAAATTGTCTGGCACCTTCTTAGCTCAGAGACATAGGGTAAGGGGTTTATAATATTTATATACATACTATTATTTTTTTTATTACCAGGTCTTTTTTTTTCACTTTTGTTTATAAATAAATAAATATATATATATATATATATATATATATATATATATATATATGCAGTATAAGTGTTACCTGGGTAGCATGAACACCCCAGACCACCAGTCTTTATACCTATATAATATATCGTTACAAGGTAGCAAACATGATGTTAGGGGCTTCTTGTTGCATGTTCAGTGCAGTGCAAAATAAAATAAACATAATAAATTTAGTGCAAAATGTGCAGTGTATGGTTGTAATTATTTCATAAATGACTTTTAGTGTGTAACTTTTCTTTTTTAGAATGTGGATGGATTATGACATACCTTGCACAAATCAACAACCAGGCTTTTATTGGATTTGAATCCCAAAGGAAAGAGAAAGTTTGTTATCCAAAACAAACATGGAAAATATCAGAAACCAACAAAACACAAGCAGGCAGAGTGTTATGGACACAACTTTGGGGAATCTCCTAAAACCAAGTATAAAAATAGAGAGGTGTGGTTGTGTCTCTCAGCTCCACAAGGGTCCACAAGAATGAGGACAACAGTGATTTTCGTAATAATTTTAGATCAGATTTAAAAAAAAAAATTTGATCAGATGGATCAGGTTAACAGTTTAATACATATTGCATTTAAGTGCTTAACGAAAAGAAAAGATGCTCTTACCAAAATAGTCTAAGAACAATGCTGATTTTAAATTAATAAATTGTTTCCTTTTGTAATAATATAATAATTTAAGTTGGCATTGTATGTATGTTTAGTGTAGATTTAATGCCCTAAATGAAATATACAATTGACATTTTTTTCTTTAAAGAATTAGTTGCAAATTTCTTTCATTATTTAGTTTCACTGTACAATCTGAAAAAAGCTTGCAACATTTGTATTGACAATACTTCTGCTGGTGATATTTATTTCTAATTAATGAAGTAAATTAATATATATTCAGTTTACTATAATTAAATACCTCATACTCGAGACAAAAAAACATTTATTAAATATCGCAGTGATATTCCTGTTCTACACAATGCGTATAAACCCTCGAACCATCTGTCTTTTGAAAGATTGTACATTTTGTATACACAATGGCATTCATTTCAACACTATTTAACCACAATTATAATCTAGAGATCCTGAACATATTTTCGTTCTGTTATTTATGGACAAGGCAGACTGGTCCAGAATTAAAATGTAAACCTTAATTAGAATACTTAAACGAGCTATGCAATTAAATGTTGTTAGACAAATATTTTATACTTTTTATTTTTAATGTTATGTTTACGTATCATAGTACAAGACAGCTTCTGTATTCTTGTACAGTAAATTAAGTTTTTACATTAGTTTAATTTAAACTGTAGGCCTGCTTAACATCTGTTACATTATATGAAAATGTTTTGTATATTTGTTTTAATTTGTTTGTATAAAAGTCAAAATGAAAGTTACTACACTATAATTTACTTATTCTTTTTCAATCAATACTTTATAGTATAGTTATAATTTTCTTACAATTGAATGGATGGTATAATACAGATTTTAATAGATGAGCAGTTCTTGTGTATGTATTGCTGCTTTACTACATTTTGATTAAAATTTCTTTCACATTTTGAAATTACCTTTGTAAATATTATGACTGATATGAGAATGGATCTTTTTGTATGCTAAAAATAAAAATTTGAGCCAAGATGTAGCCAGGATATAATACAGGCTGAGCCAAGGTATAGCCGAGATATAGCCATTATTGGGCCAAGATGTAGCCAGGATATAATACAGGATGAGCCAAGGTATAGCCAATATTGGGCCAAGATATAGCCATTATTGAGCCAAGATGTAGCCAATATTGGGCCAAGATGTAACCATGATATAGACAATATTGGGCCAAGATATAGCCAATATTGAGCCAAGATGTAGCCAATATTGGGCCAATATGTAGCCGGGATATAGCCAATGTTGGGCCAATATGTAGCCGGGATATAGCCAATATTTGGCCAAGATCTAGCCAATGTTGGGCCAATATGTAGCCGGGATATAGCCAATATTGTGCCAACATTGCGCCAACATCATGCCGAGTTTCACTACCAATGTTTTGCCAAGGTTAAGCCAATGTTGCACCAAGATGTAGCCAATATTGGTAACCAATGTTTAGCCAATATTGGGCCAATATATGTGTGCTGACTGGGCCTTCCCGGCGCCCAGGAACAAACCTTCAATTTTTAATTTGCACCCCCCCCCCCCCCCTCATACTTTATATTTCCACCCCCCTCAAACTTTCCATTTGCAAACCTCCCTGCCCCCATATATTTTTTATACATATAATGCAAAACTGCACATAAAATGAGATTTTAATTTGTTTTTCCAACCCATTTTGGCACCCCCTAAGGTCGACGCCCGGGGACATATGTACCCTCCTGCCCCCCCTTCGCTACGCCTCTGATGTAAGCCTACTTACCTTGCGATTTGGGCAGGGTCTTCCAATTTAGGATTTTAAAGACAAGTCAAGTAGGCCTAAATTCTAAATTAACAAAATATGATTCATATTAAACAAACTAAAGATTATATATTATTCTGTTATTAAGCCTAAAAAAAAGAATATATGTGTATTCAAACCAAACACTAGCAGTAACCTATACTCCAGTTCTCACCCTTGTCCTAAAAAAAGTTATTTTAGCAAATCACTTTTTTACAGGTATTTTACCTGTATTCAACATTTCTTTCTTTTACTGTTTTCATTTATTTAAAATGTATTACTTTCACTGGTTTCATTTATGTTCAAAATGTATTACTTTCACTATGTTTATTTATTCAAAATGTATTACTTTCACTCAGAGGCGTAGGGGGGGTGGGCGGGGGGTGCGGACTGCACCGGGTGACACCATTTAGGGGTGACACTAAGACAAAAAATAGCAAAATATATAGAGAAAAACTTGAGGGGGGGTGCAAATCTAAAGTTTGAGGGGGGGGGGGGGTGCAAATCGAAAACTTGAGGGGGGGGGTGTAAATCAAAAATTTGTCCCCGGGAAGGGTCGCTACGCCTCTGGGGGTGACACCATTAAGTGCCACACCGGGTGACACCCGACCTCGCTACGCCACTGCTTTCACTATGTTTTTTTATTCAAAATATATTACTTTCACTATGTTTATTTATTCTAAATGTATTCAAAATTTACTTTTCTCACTGCATTTTTTCTATTCAAAATGTATTACTTTCAGATAAAGAATATTAAACAATTTTGTTTGTAAAATTGGCATCACAGAGCTAATATAAAAGATAGGGACCATCATGGCATTCATGGGCTCATCTGATGCCTACGAATCGAGAACATATGTTTTAAAGGTAAGCTCTTGTGAAATGGCCACCAAAGTTTGTTTGGCTATCCATAGGTGAAATTACCTGCATAGGTGTTGAGAAGAGAGTTACAATTGTGTAATGATGGGTTACGGAAACATCATCACAGTGTAGCACAGTGTTGCCAATAATATTAGTGTATCATGAAATTAATTTTAAACATTATGTTCAGGTTCCTCTGCTTCCTATATTATTATTTATTAGATTAGGTTTATTAACTCTAAGCCCAAATAGATTCTATATCGATATATATGACTACTTTTAAAGCAGAATGCATCTAAGATTATCACAATACAATAACTAGTCGCCAATGTCTAAAAATTATGCTATTCATTTTTATCCCTTCACTTGCGTGGTATAAATTAAAGCCCTATGATTAGTTAGTTATTACTAATGTACAAAAACACTTTAGGTATTGTATTAATTATTCATCAATTAATGATATTAAAAATTATTTGTTTTGTCAAAAATGTTCCAGAATGTACCAGATTCCTACAGCAAGGATTTGATCAAAGACTATGTGGAAGGAGTTCTAGACATTGGAGTTGAAGAGGTAGTGATATGCCCATACATATCACGCAGGGCACTCATCAGACTAGAGGAGGAATTGAAAGGTAAAGTCTTTCATTTGGTTTTTATTTTAGAGCCAATAGTTTAGCTTGTAAACATGTTTAGACTGGTAATATATTCATACTAACCCTTCACATGTTAGGGTCACAAAAACAGGTGAACTCTACTTCACTTCCCCAGTGGACCATCTGGTTCAAAAAGAGAACTTAATTTTTTTAATAACATATTTGTATCCATATTTTATTGCTGCTTGGTTGTGTGAGTATTTGTTAACTAGGCACACCTACACATTAGTATTTTATGATTTATTAATTATAAACATAGTCTTAACCTAAACATAGTCTTAACCTAAACATAGTCCTAACCCAAACATAGTCTTAACCTAAACATAGTCTTAACCTAAACATAGTCTTAACCCAAACAATGATAGTCTAAACCTAAACAGAGCCTTGAAACACACCTGTAAATACTATTAGTTGTGAGGACTATTAAAAAATCTGTAGCATTGTATTTATATTAAATAATATAACATCCCCAATCACCACAACACCCTGACTATACTAATCCAAATTAAAAATAAAAGTGTTGCTTAATTAATATTATATCACTAGTAATTATTTCTAGCCTGAATAAAACTGGAAGTCCTTGTGTACTTATTACACAAATGTTATAAAATATTAAATTTTGGTTGAAAAATATGCTTTCTGGCAACACAAATCTGGAACCATTTGGAACAGCTTTTCAAGTCTATTGAGAGTGAATCCCTAGCTAGTAATGTTATGTTTTTAAAAATGGTCCAGTCATCTAGTAAAGTGTAACCACTTAGCTACTTAAGGATTTAGGTTAAATGGCTTTTCATGACCCATAAGTGATGTGCGTGATGTTTCCATACATACATAGGGTCTACATACATACATATATACATACATACATACATACATTCATAGGTTTACATACTGTTTGCTTCTACTTGATATGCTTATACTTCTCTTAATTCTTGCCAGACTTTTAAGATAACGTTAATTAAGATAACTATATTATTTAATGTACTCATTTATTAATTTATGGGTACTAAATTTGGTATTACCTGATCATTTAATAAGTGATTCCTAGTATGGACAAGTAAAGAATTTTAGATATAAAAACCTTTGAAAAAAATATGCTAAACGAAATCAAAGTGCCATACTAAATCTCATTAAAACTTTCACTAAACAAATGATAATGTTAAATTATAACATCATTTTAAAATTACTATTCTTTTTTTAAATCCCACAAGAAAATTAAACCATAATCTTTTATAGCCCTAATTAAGATTTATAATTAACTATCTTTTCAGACTACAACCAAGCCAAAATTGACATAAAAAATGAAAAACTTGAAGCCAATGAAGTGGAATTACTGCCTGTTTCCAGAAAACCTGCAATCGTGGTAACAGAGCTTGATACCATTGTGCTTTCCATTGAGTTCCTCAAGATGTTTCTAGAAAATGAGTTTGCACCTGATGAGGAGGAAATAGTGAAAAATTGTGTTTCATTCCCAGAATTTAAAATGGCAATTGTTGAGTTTTCCCCAAAAAACAAAACAAGTAAGTTTACTTGATTTTAAACTAAAATTAAAAATATGTTCTCATAGACCCTTCAATGACTTAAAAGCACATGAAAGTGGTTTTGAAGTATATAATTGTTTAGACAACACTCAGGATATAGAGTTGTTGTTTTTTTTCTCCTTAATCCTCAATATTTCTGAATTCTTAAGATATTTTAAAATATAAAATCCATAGAATTTAAGATATAATCATTAGCACCACTTGGAAATGTGATACCCTTAATTGCTATTAAGTTTGTTGCCTCAAAACAATATTACATCTGTTTGGTGTCACCCCCACCTGGTGTACGCCATCATAGTTTTAATTATGTAAATTACTCTAATTAGTTATTCATCTATCTGGGCAAGTAACATTTTCTTAGTGAAACATCTCACCCACTGTAGGATCATTCCTGGCCTAGTGATGGCTCAGGGTATAAAATCTAAATAAGCAAGTGATGAGTGGAGAATGTTTAGATCAGTTTTTCTGCTTTTTTATATCTGCACTCTAGGCAGTTGAACAAATCCAAAATAACAGTTTAAAATTATTATAAATTTGTAAAAGAATCATCTTAAAATGTCTGTATTTATTATTATTATTTGTATTAAATAACAGAGCAAAACTTACAAAAGAAAATCTACATTGTTTACTTGCATGGTCAATGTCAATATTTGTATAGATATCCCCCCACCTCCTATGATTGTCATAAGATATCATGCAACAGAAAATCAATATTCCCCACTAATAAATAGTAATCTATCCTTATTTCCCAACTTAATTACAACCTGAATGCATAACCACCAGTCAGTATTGAAATCATTTGTAGCTTATTATTTTTATTGAATTAACTTTGCATCACCTTATCCCTTCAGTGCCCAAGTCATATAGGGCAAAGAAATCAGTATATTTTTAATTATTTTTTTTTTTCTCTGTGTTGCAGTTGTTGAAGAAATTCTGTCGACACCAGATCATGTGCCACTTCCATCTGAAAACTACCACATCAAAGTCTCCCCTTTCTACAGCAATTTCCATGACTGTATTGATAGCTCCTTCTTAAACTCAGAATCAAGTAAAAATGATGTAAAATCAAGCAGACAGTCACCTCCACCACCAATCACTGAAAAACCTCAAAATTTAAATAAACAGTCTCCTCCACCACCTCTGACGGAGAAACCAAAGATTGGTGTGAAAACATTGATTGATAAATTTGATCAAAGCCATAAAGCAGAAGTGGAGACCAAAAGTAAAACTGATGAAGTAGAAACAAGTTCCTCGGATGATGAAGTTGATGAAAAAGTTACCTTTGACAATGATGATACTGAAAATGATGATGATAGTGATTCTGATGATAAATATTGTTCTTTTGAAAGCAAAAATGAATCTGGAAATGAGTTTGAAAAAGTAGAGCAAAACATATCAGTAGAAAAGCCTATTGCAGTTAGAGGTAGAGGAGGGAGAGGGGCCTTTTTAAGGGGAGGTTTTAAGCCCCCTGTTGCAGCCAAGCCAAAATTAGATTTGTCTCACTCATTTAGTGGTGATGATACCAATAAAATCTCAGATCATGAAGAGGAAGTTCCTGTGAGCTATCCTAGGGGCAGAGGTCATTATAGAGGGCGAGGTTCTTACAACAAAAACAGCCATCATAGAAATACTGCTCAAGATTCTGCTATGGGAGGAGATGACCAAACAAGCCACAGAAACCGCAAGCGTCGAGGCAAAAAACACAAAAATTATAAGGACTCTGAAACCACGCATCACGGTGAGAACAAAAAATTACCATTCTCAAACGATAACTTAAACAGAGAAAGACATGAAAGAAGGGATAGCTACAGACACCAAAAAGAAGAAGAACAGGATGCTACATTTCAACCTAAATGGAAATCTGAAAAAAATTTGCTTGATGACAAAGAAAAAGCACAAGTACCCCCAAGAAGTGCATTCAGGGGCAGAGGAGGTAAAGCATTTGTTGTGAGAAAACAAAGCTATGATGCTGGGTATTCTAATGAGTATAGTCGAACCAGCCAACAAGACTTTGATTCAAGGAATGATGAACACAAATTCCCCAGAGTGAACAGTGAACTGTCTGATCAATCTGATTCTCAGGTCCACCATCTGACACAGTTAAACTCTGGACGCCAGAGAGTGGTAGATAACTCTGAAGAAACAATTGAAGCACAAAAAAGAGTGAAGGAACTTGAACAAATAGTGAAAGAAATGCAATTAGAAAATGAACTGTTAAAGAAAAACCCACAAAATATAACAGATAAATTAGAAAATATTTCTGAACTCCAGGCTTATTTCTTACAGCCTTTCTTTAAGAAACTTGGTGAATGTACAATACTGTATCATGCATATGACAAATCTGTTGTTCTCAATGGCCCTGAGTCTGATATACAAGAATGCAAGTTAAAAATTCTTATGGAGATTAAGAGTATTGTAGATGACACATTGAAAATTACTCCCATTACATATTCAATTATTTCAAGACCAAAAGGGAAACGATTCCTTGAAGATATTCAGACAGAGTTTAAAGAAATTAAGATTTTCTTGGAAGAGCATCAACTTCTTGTTGCATCAAAAGATGAAAACATTCTAACCAAAGCTATGTTCAAATTGAAAGATACTATCAACTCTTCCCAAACATTTAAGTCAAATGTAGAACTTTCCATAGACAAATTACTGGCATTAAAAACTTCATTAGAATCTGATTTACTAGTTAGTGTAACCTGGAATGATGATGGAAGAGAAATAAAAGTTGAAGGCATAAAAGATGATGTTATGGCATCTCAAAGAGAAATTAAAGACCTGTTAGATGAACATGGAGTTACTGAAAAGAAGTTTGTGGTTAAAGGACTTGAAGCCAACTTCTTACAAATGTGTTTTAAAGAACGGATCGACTCAATCCTTAGCAACCTGAAAATTGTTTCTTATGTCTCTGATGATACTGGGTTGTCAATAACTTACAGTGGCCCAAAACTTCAAATACTTGAAGCCTCTAATAGGTTAAAAGATCTACAGTCTTCTGTTGTATCCAAGAAGTGGGATTTGAAAGATGACTTTAAAGCTCATGAAATTATGCTGATAACAAACAGTTTAAAAAGTGGAACTTTAAAAGAAAAGATTGAAAAGTTTATTTATAAGGAGAAGTGTCTTATTATCACTAAAGAGCTTAGTTTTGACTTTTTCCTTGATTCATCAAAACACAAGTCTACAGATATGAAACAACTAAAGAAGACAAGAGGAGGTGTTAGTTCTACAAGAGACAAAACACCTCCACCCAAGCCAGCCTCACATAAACTTATCTATGACCTCTCTAGCACTTGTAAACTTGTCATTAAACCCTACGGAGACATCACTAAAGAAAATTCAGATATTCTTGTCTGCGTTTTGGGACCTGAAATGGATTTGAGAAAAACAAGAGTGGGCCAGGCTTTTAACAAATCTTGTCATTCGCTGTGGAAACAGTTAAATGATGCTAAAGATTCTAATCCTGGTGCTCCCATAGTAACCATCCTCAATCCTAAAGGTGTCAGATGTACCGCAATATGTCATGTTGTATTATCACCATATAACCAAGCAGCATCTGTGCAGCAACTGACTACAGCTGTACAGGGGGTTCTGAAAGAAGCACAACGACAAGGTGTTAAGTCGGTTTCATTTCCTGCTTTGGGTTGTGGGAAAGCTTTACAGTTTCCTCCATCTGTTGTGGCCCAGCTAGTTCTCACCAACATCAGGGCTATGAATGCTGGGAGTTTTTTAAACAAGGTGGTGCTCTTAGCACCAGACAGAGAACTGTTCACAGAATTTAAGAAAGAAGCACCAAACCACTTTAAAACATCAGCGCCAAAGCCTGTTGCTGTTGCAGCAAGTGTACCTGTTGCACCTGTGGTCACTGCTGCACCTACTAAGGCCAGTGACAGTGAAGAGAGTGACAGCAGTTCTGATGATGACACGACACTTATCCCTCTTGATTCTAAAAATATTGGCAAAACAGAAATCCATATCATCACTAAAGTTGGCAGTAATTTTGAAAATCTGAAAACGATGATCAAAAAAGAGATGACCGATAATTGTTTAACAGTGGATTACTTTAACCAAGATGTCATGCCACATTGGCCCAGCTCTTCTAGAAAAAAAATCATTGAACATGCTAAAAAGTTTTCTGTTTGGATTGAAAAGTCTAGACATCCAAAAACTAAAAAAGCAGGATTTTTTATCAAAGGGGAAAGACATTTGGTTGTACAGATGAAAGTATTTATACAACAGGAATTTTCTTCCATCTCTAGCCGTTTCCCTAAGAGGTCGTTGACTTCAGACAAAGTGCCCAAACGAGGAACTTTAGAATTTATGCAATATGCTGCAGAGAGTGATGAACTCTTCCCGTCTTACTGGAATTTAAATAAGTCTAAGAGCTTCTGGAAAAGACTGCAAGATAAAATGTCTTTAAAATCAGCCAAAGGTAATGTATTGGTGAGTGTTGATGATGCCACAAAATCAGCTATCATTAGCCTGGTAAAAAACACAATGGAACCAGGTCTGATAGGAGCAGGTGCTGATGCTGCTGGATTAAGTTACAGGAATATACAAGTGATAAATGTTGAAAGAGTTGAGAACCTTCATTTATTTGAGCAGTATAATATGCGCAGAAAACGACTTTTTGAAAAAGCTGTGAGAACTGGAAAAATCTGTCCTGACATTGGCAAGTTACAAGGGTCTAAGGGCAGAGTCAGGACTACAGAACTGCTGGATGATAGCTTAAAGAAAGAATTATATTATGAAATAAATGAACACTATCTTTTCCATGGTACCAAGTCAGAATACGTTGACACTTTGATAAATTATGGGTTTGATCCAAGGTTATCAAGTGAAGGTGGAATGTTTGGTAGAGGAATTTATGCAGCAGAAAAAGTTACAAAATCTGACCAGTACACTGGTAAGTTTGTTTTTTTTTTAATGTAAAATTCCTTAAATAAAATATATGATTTAAAAAACAGACTTTAAATTTATAACTACTAAAATGACAACTTTAATGTTAAAAACTATTACTTCTTTTTAAGTATTTACATTTGCGTTGTAGAAGTAGTTTTTTTACATCATTATGAGCTTGTTTTCACTAAATGGGTTATGAGTGGTTAAAAACTACTTATGTACCATCATTTATGGAAACCCTCTTTATAAAAAATGTTTATACATATTTTAGGCCGCAAGAAAAAAAAATATCGAAAGTAATTTTTATGTCTAACACAGCATATTTAGTTAGTAATTAGGCCACATCAGGTTCATTACTCCTATTTTGTTTTCTGTACTTTAAATGTACACAATTTGTGTGGAAAAATATGAAAGTGTGTTTGATCTACAATTATTTATATTAAAAAAAAATTAATAGTAAGCTCTAATATGTGGATATCCACACTGAACTATCTCCTCCTACCACCCTTTAAATGTGTGACCCTATTTTAATGTTATGGCAAGATATTACAAACAATCTAAATCTAAATTATAAAACTAACTCATTTTTTTGTTACAAGGATTGTAATTATTTAATTTAAAAAAAATTATTTTATAGATCCGAGGAGTCAGCGTGTACAAAATGGAACGCCACTGAAACTTTTCCTGACACGAATGCTTCTTGGCAATGTATTTTTGTGTGACAGTAATCACAAGTCTGTTGCTAGCAAAGGTTAGTTTTTTGTTTGTTTTTTAGTTGGCTAAATATTACAGAGAGAATTAAATTTTAGTTTAGCTAAGTTTATATATTTTTTTTATTAGGCATAAAAAATACTAAAAGGTTATCTAGGTATACAAAGAATGATGAAGCTAGTATGTCTCAAACTATTCTACTAAAAAGTTTTAATACTGGAAAGTGTTGAGATTTAAATTTAAGTTCAATTTTTAACTTTTCCATTTTTTTTTAATCTTCACATGATTTTTTCATTAGGATTTATTTACAAAATGTAGTGTTACTTCAGTGTTACCCAATCATATTTCTCTCTGGTAATATTAAAAAATAGGTTGATACTCTAGACCTCATTTCAACTAGTAGTTTCCAATTAAATTCAATTTTAATTAAATTTGCTCATATTTAGATTATTGTTAGATAAACTTCATTTTATTTAAGGACATTAAATAGATCTCTCATTTTTTTAAATCTTCAGATAGCAAAAAGCTAAGTCGGCCTCCCTGTACTCATTGCTTTCAAGATGTCTGTAAATGCAAACCTCAGGTTCTTTTTGACTCAGTGATGGGAGATGGGAAATGGAATTTCAGGGAGTTTGTCGTGTATGATGCAAGTGAATGCTACCCTGAGTATGTTATAACATATAAGAGGGTCTAGAACTGCGGACAAAAATTAACATATATATCATGAGGAGTTATATTATCATTATTGATTTGATTGCAATTGACTTGTATATCTAAAAATGGTAGAAAAATTTGCTTCCACAGTTCAATAAGTAATCATTTAAACTGTTGGTGAAAGTTATCAATGGAAAGATTCTATTGTTAACAACTATTGATTTAAATAAATATACAAATGGCGCTTTATTATTCAATAAAGCACATATATTTTTTTGTTGTTACAAACAAAACAAAATTGATACCATTGTATTTTATGCTTTGCTGTAAATATTTGTATAACAAAGCCGAGTGTTTATTTCTACATTTTTAATAAATTATTTACTTTAAATGTTGAAGTGAATAATACTTTGATTTTATAATTAATTAAAGTGTAGCTAACAGCTGAAAGCAAAATTTTTGGTTGTGTATTTGTAGCGTACTTTCAAAACATGTATTGGTCAGTTGTTTTCTATACAAACTCTTGCAGTTATTATTGTGTATCTTCCCATTTCTGTGCTTGCATTGCATTTAAAAATGCATCAGCAGTTATTTGGTTTGTTCAAAATTAAAAAGTTTAAACTACTTTTTACTTAATGTCTGTTATTGTAAACAAATATAAAACACAAATTGTGTTTAAAAATGGAAAATTTTGTTCAACAATAATGAAAGGATTACAAAACCCACCACCAATTTCTATGTTTTATTTAATCATTCAGAAAATATTTACTTAGTGTGGGTTATATTTGTAATTTAGGTTATATTGTATTATTTTCTATTAAAAAATCAGTTTGTAATTAAGTTGTGAATATTATATTTTAAACTTTATAAAAGCCTTTGTAAAGATTAGTACTTATAATTGATAAATACGGGCTTGTTTAGTTTTACCAAAAACTTTCAGCTCTGTGTAGGCCCATTATGTCTCACAGGTCAATAGATTTAATTATTTCTTATATGTAGTTTATGTAAATGTGAAAAACTGTGGTTTTCTTAAAACTAACAATCCAACACTAATAAAACATGTTGAAACTAATTTATTGACTTAAATTTCACGCATTTAAAAGATTAGTTTCAATTCAACTTAAATGATATACATGGATTTTTATTGGATTGTAGATGAACCTTCACTTGCTCAATTACTCATGAAAAGATACAAGCAAACTACAACAGCATCACAAGAGAAAACCTAAACTATTAACTCAGCTCACAACACATTGGTCATAATAATCAAAAACAATAATTTATCTTATAGTTCTAAATAGCTAAATTTAGCAAAAATATATAAAAAATCCGTAACACTTCTGCTTTCCTATAACATTATAAAAAACAATAAACCACCCAGTAGGCTTATCTATAGTTACGAGTTAGACTCCTCTATCTCATAACATGTGAAAAATTTATTTGCAATTACTGAATGGATAGTTAGATTAATATAGAAAATGCATACATACAATTTATATCAGATCTATATTGTAAGGAGTTTCTAGGCTGTCTTGTTAGACTAAAAAATATACTTGAGCTTAAAAGCGTGAAAAAAAACCCATTACATTTTGCAATTTCTAGTTCAATTAGCTATAAAAATAAACATTTGGCATGTTACGTTTAATTTAGAAGCAATTCTATAGCTTTGTATTGTGTTAAAAAAAATAGTGCCTATAAAACTATCATACTCATCTAGTTCATCTAACATTTAGTATCAATAAGAATTTAATTAACCATTGTAACCTTGGACTGCAACGCTGACAACACAATGATTCAAAATTAATAATAATCTTTTCTTATCCACTTCGTGTTATTTTATTTTATTGATCCATATTTGACATACATAATTTTTCTGGGAGATTTGGAGGCTGAAATTACATTTTTATCCTTCTAAAATGTTTAAATTTCATTGCTTTTCAAATGTTCATATTTGCAGCAAACCTACATTTTATGCCTAATTTAAAATTTCATTTCTACAAAATGTTTGCTAAGGTTAATTTAACATTTGAGACAGATTTACAAAACTTGGCATGTGGCAAAAATACAAGATGGTGACATCCTTATCTTCAGGAAAACCATTTACAAATTTTAAAAAACATTTTTTATAACGTTTGATTCTTGTAAATCATCGTTATTTTAATTAAATCTCTAGTACTAAATATGAACTTATACTTTTTTTAATGTCAACACACTCAAATGTACTCAAATGCAGACACATAATAAACAAGGCGGAGTAATTAAAACCGATGTTATAAGATGACTGAATTTCCTAGAAATTGTAAATAAAAAATTCATGATAAAAAAAGCACATTCTATAATTCGAAAAGTAAAAAAAAACATTCACTTAAATAATAACAGGTTTATAAATCATCATTTAAGGTCATGTGTGTGGGGCAACCTGTAGCTTTGGTTTCTTCTATAAAGCAAACATTTTAACTCAATCCGTCCCATGAGCCACGAAATGCGGCTTGGGCCAGCTTCACTGTAGGCCCGCAAGCCACAAGGTACGGCTCGACACCACTAGTGTTTGTATAATATAAAAAAAATCAGTAACACTTCTGCATTCCTATAACATTGAATTCAGAGGCGTAGCGAGGGGGGGGGCAGGGGGTGCGGACCGCACCGGGTGACACCATTTAGGGGGGTGACACCAAGGCAAAAAATAGCAAAATATATAGAGAAAAACTTTAGAGGGGGTGCAAATCGAAAGTTTGAGGGGGGGGGGGGGGAGGATGCAAATCAAAAACTTGAGGGGGTGCAAATTGAAAGTTAGAGGGGGGGGGGGGTGGTGCAAAAAGAAAATTTGAAAGTTAGTCCCCGGGAAGGGTTGCTACGCCTCTCGGGGGTGACACCATTTAGTGCCGCACCGGGTGACACCCGACCTCGCTACGCCACTGATTGAATTATAATAATTATTACAATAGTTTACTTATGAATTTATAAAAATGTATTTTTCATCATCTTTTCCTGTTATAAATCAGGACATCTGGGGCAGATGAACTAGACTTCATCAGTTTCAATAACCTTAGCATATAAATGCATTGTGTAATCAGTACTATGCCCAGTCGCGTGAGCTTTCCCTTATATGAGTAATGTATGCCTCAATACTGGTTAGACTCAGGAAAATCCTAAGCACTCAATCCAATTGACTTGAGTCTGGAATCCAAACTCAATGGTTAAATGTTGTGTACTTTACCATTCAACTACACCATCACATAAAATTAAAATAGCAATGTAAACAGAAAGTGATATTTCAACGCCAAGGGTAGACAAAGGTACAGAATATAGTCCAAGTCTGTATCGTCGTCCCTGTATTTGTGTCGCCTGTGTGGTCGAATAATGGTCCTTGTTGTGTGTATGAGGCTAACGGTCAGCCCCATTCGGGGTTCAAAGGTCACGCCAGCCCGCGTCTTCCGTGAACAAGTTGTTGATAGTGCTCGGCCATGAAAGCTTTATTTTGTAAAGCTGATTGGCTGAATCGGTTACACGTCTGACTTGATGCATGGAGGGCGAGGCGATTCGGTGCCGTGTGGAATGGTAGGTTCGGATCCCGTCTGGGTTCTGACTGTTCTGTCTTTACTTGGACTATATTCTGTACCTTTGTCTACCCTTGGCGTTGAAATATCACTTTCTGTTTACATTGCTATTTCAGTTACAACGCCTGCTTCCACCCTTTGCCATCAAATTAAAAACAATTTTTGTGAACAATTCTAAACACGCTTATATGTTATAACATACTCAGGGTAGCATTGACTTGCATCATACACAACAAACTCCCTGAAATTCCATTTCCCATCTCCCATCACTGAGTCAAAAAGAACTTGAGGTTTGCATTTGCAGATATCTTGAAAGCAATGAGTGCAGGGAGGTCGACTTAGCTTTTTGCTATCTGAAGATAAAAACAAAAAGAGAACCATTTTTATTTAAATTACGTTTAAATAATTATAATTGTAACCCTACAGCAAAGTTAAAGTAAAGACTATTGTATTTGTATGCTTTATTTACAAATAATAAACCTTAAAAAGCTACTTTATTCTTATGATGCTAACAAAACAATAATTCTATATCTAAGATACAGACTATATGTTGACCTTTCAAGAAGCTTTAACTTTAAAAACCAAGTGGAGATCACACAAAAAAACACAGAAACAAAAAATTCTAATTTAGGTTATTAATATGTGAACTGAAAAAACTAGACTGATTTCTAAGGATAGTGGGTAGAAAATCTCACAGATTTTTTAACCAAATTGTTTACTTCCCCATAATGATCCAGATGTTCCACTTAAAGCAGCTATTATATTAATGGAAATTAACACATGTTTATCATTTTCAATATTAAGAAATAGAGAAATACAAACATATAATCTTTATCAGTTCTATGTGTGATATTTTGCCTATATTTTGCCTACTACAGTAAAAAAAACTAACCTTTGCCAGCAACAGACTTGTGATTACTGTCACACAAAAATACATTGCCAAGGAGCATTCGTGTCAGGAAAAGTTTCAGTTGAGTACCATTTCGTACACGCTGATTCTTTTGATCTGTAATAAAATCAAAAGCATTTATGTAGAAGTAAACAATGCTTATAGTAACAATTAGGTTTTCAATTAAAATGAACTGTAAACCATACACTGTTCAAATGAGAAAATCTGTGAACAAAATGAACCCGATTAGAGTCTACTAGCTATAACAGCAAACAGATTTTTATAGAGAAAAAAACAATATTCAATTTTTTAAAATTGCTTCTAGCTGACAGAATGCCAAGAAGATGTTACTAAAACAATTCAAGACTACCGTGAATAATTTTATATTTTCAAATTTAAATTTAAAAATAAAACAAATTTAACAGATGAATATTCAGCTATGTTAAAATATGATTCTAAAATGTGTACCAAAACGTTTTTGGAACAGATGGTATTAAATGCTCAATTTGAATAACATGGATCAAAAGGGTTAATTTTTAATGTTTTAGATTATATTTGGCAAATTTAATATATTTCATATTCAAATACATGTAATTATGTGAATACATTATATACTTTCAAAAAAAAAGTAAAACTTACCACTATACTGGTCAGATTTTGTAACTATTTCTGCTGCATAAATTCCTCTACCAAACATTCCACCTTCACTAGATAACCTTGGATCCAATCCGTTGTGTATCAAAGTGTCAATATTATCAGACTTTGTGCCATGGAAAAGATAATGCTCATTTACTTCGTAATATAATTCTTTTTTCAGACAGTCATCCAGCAGTTCTGTAGTCCTGACTCTGCCCTTAGACCCTTGTAACTTGCCAATGTCAGGACAGATTTTTCCAGTTCTCACAGCTTTTTCAAAAAGTCGTTTTCTGCGCATACCATATTGCTCAAATAAATGAAGGTTCTCAACTCTTTCAACATTTAGCACTTGTATATTCCTGTAATTCAATCCAGCAGCATCAGCACCTGCTCCTATCAGACCTGGTTCCATTGTGTTTTTTACCAGGCTAATGATAGCTGATTTAGTGGCATCATCAACACTCACCAATACATTACCTTTGGCTGATTTTAAAGACATTTTATCTTGAAAACTTTTCCAAAAGCTCTTAGACTTATTTAAATTCCAGTAAGACGGGAAGAGTTCATCACTCTCTGCAGCATACTGCATAAATTCTAAAGTTCCTCGTTTGGGCACTTTGTCTGAAGTCAATGACCTCTTAGGGAAATGTCTAGAAATGTAAGAAAATTCCTTTTGTATAAATACTTTCATCTGTACAACCAACTGTTTTTCTCCTTTGATAAAAAATCCTGCTTTTTTAGACTTTGGATGTCTAGACTTTTCAATCCAAACAGACAACTTTTTAGCATGTTCAATGATTTTTTTTTTAGAAGAGCTAGGCCAATGTGGCATAACATCTTGGTTAAAGTAATCCACTGTTAAACAATTATCTGTCATCTCTTTTATAATCATCTTCTTCAAATTATCAAATTTATTTCCAGCTTTGGTTATGATGTGGATTTCTGTTTTGCCAATATTTTTAGAATCAAGAAGGATAAGTGTCGTGTCATCATCAGAGCTGCTTTCACTCTCTTCACTATTACTATCAGGGAGTAGAAAATTAAAGTAAAAACTTAGCTCTTTAGTGATAATAAGACACTTTTCTTTATAAATAAATTTTTCAATCTTTTCTTTTAAAGTTCCACTTTTTAAACTGTTAGTTATTAGCATAATTTCATGAGCTTTAAAGTCATCTTTCAAATCCCACTTCTTGGATACAACAGAAGACTGTAGATCAATTAACCTATTTGAGGCTTCAAGTGTTTGAAGTTTTGGCCCACTGTAAGTTATTGACAACTGAGTATCACCAGAGACATAAGAAACAATTTTCAGGTTGCTAAGGATTGATTCAATCTGTTCTTTAAAACACATTTGTAAGAAGTTGGCTTCAAGTCCTTTAACCACAAACTTCTTCTCAGTAACTCCATGTTCATCTAACAGGTCTTTAATTTCTCTTTGAGATGCCATTACATCATCTTTTATGCCTTCAACTTTTATTTCTCGTCCATCATCGTTCCAGGTTACACTAACTAGTAAATCAGATTCTAATGAAGTTTTCAATGCCAGTAATTTGTCTATGGAAAGTTCTACATTTGACCTAAAAATATGAGAAGAGTTGATAGTATCTTTCAATTTGAACATGGCTTTGGTTAGAATGTTTTCATCTTTTGATGCAACAAGAAGTTGATGCTCTTCCAAGAAAAGCTTAATTTCTTTAAACTCTGTCTGAATATCTTCAAGGAATCGTTTCCCTTTTGGTCTTGAAATAATCGAATATGTAAGGGGAGTAATTCTCAATGTGTCATCTACAATACTTTTTAGCTCCTTAAGAATTTTGAACTTGCATTCTTGTATATCAGACTCAGGGCCATTGATAACAACAGATTTGTCATGCGCAAGATACAGTATTGTAAATTCACCAAGTTTCTTAAAGAAAGGTTGTAAGAAATAAGCCTGGAGTTCAGATATATTTTCTAATTTATCTGTTATATTTTGTGGATTTTTCTTTATCAGTTCATTTTCTAATTGCATTTCTTTCAGCTGGTGTTCAAGTTCCTTCACTCTTTTTTGTGTTTCAATTGTTTCTTCAGAGTTATCTACCACTCTCTGGCGTCCAGAGTTTAACTGTGTCAGATGGTGGACCTGACAATCAGATTGATCACTGTTCACTCTGGGGAAACTGTGTTCATCATTCCTTGATTCCATGTCTTGTTGGCTGGTTCGACTATACTCATTAGAATATCCAGCATCATAGCTTTGTTTTCTCACAACAAATGTTCTTCCTCCTCTGCCCCCGAATGTACTTCTTGGGGGTACTTGTGCTCTTACTTTGTCATCAAGCAAATTTTTTTCAGGTTCCCATCTAGATCTAGATTGAGAATTATTAAATGTATGCTTACTAAAGTCATCAGTGTAAGGTGCTGCATAATTTTCCTCAGAAAATTCTAATTTTGGATTGACACTATTATTTCTTTCTTTTTCATCTCTGTTCACACTTTTAAAAGATGATTCTCTAACAACTTTTACAGCATTTTGTTTGTTGATCTTCTGTCTTTCCTCTTTTAATTCATAATTTTTCAAGCATGTTTTACAAAGTGGTAATGGTTCATTCTCTGGTGCCCTATTCTTTTTACGCTTTTCATTATTTATGACAAGCAGAATTTCTCTCTGAGACACCATCACATCATCCTTTATTCCTTCTACTTGTATTTTCCTTCCACAAGCATCCCATGAGACAATTACTAATAAACCAGCTTCAAGTTTCTCTTTTATATTGTAAAGTTGGTCAATTGAAATATCTACCTCTGAACTGAATGACTGCAAATATATTTTTTCTCTTAATTCTATAATTACATGATTAAGCCTGTCTTCCCCTATTGCAGCCACGAAAAGGCATTCTTCTTCTAATATTATTTTGACATCCTCATACACAACTTGTATATATTCGAGGTATTGTTTTCCTTTTTTCCTCGAAAAAATTGTATACAAATTGGGAGAAATCTTGACAGTTTCTTGAGCAATATTTTCCAATTTGACAACAAGTTGTAGCTTACAGTCATTTATAACTGGGCCTGGACCATAAAGAATGATTACTTTTTCAAATGAGTCATAATAAACAATACATTCATCAAACGCCTTAAAACTTTGTCTCAAGACACAAGCCTGAAGTTCTGATATATTTTCCAGCTTGTCCATAACAAGATGTGTCATTTTAGTAAAAGATGAATTCATTTTTATGGATGTTGGGGAAAACAATTCAAATAATTTCTAGCATTTAGAATCCAATCTTTGTAATTCTAATTGTTATTAGTTTCATTTGCTTTGTAGAAACAAAATGTAGGCCTACTTATAAAAATACTTAATATTTATTTGATCTTTTTTTCTGTTACTTGTTAAGGAGTTCCACATGATATCCTGCAAATCAATTCATCTCTTATTAATTATACTGAACAAAAGTAATTTTTACTTAAAGTTATGCGATATGTGAAACGAAAAATATCTTAAACTCTTAAACTAAATACATTTTTTTAGAAAACAAGTTTAATTTCAATTTTATTTTATTTGGAGGTTAACCTATGATTTAATATAGATTCTATGTATGTCCTAACTATTAACTAACTAAATATTAAATATGTTTAAGTGGGTTTATGGTATTAATAATAATAATAGGCTCAGTACAGTAGTGAAAGGTATATAAGATTCTAGTATATAGGCCCTACTTATAGTCTCAGATTATAGTCTAAGGCTACTTAAAACGAATAGACCTACTCTAAATTTATTATTTAAAAACCATCGTCTTCCTCCGTTCGTGTATGGCTAGCTATACTATTGGGGGATAATTGGTCGAAATGATCTCCCAAGAAATCATTTAAAAAACATTTTAAACGTCAATATATAGGATATATACTATATACATTATTAATATTTACATAATATTCAAATGTAATTCACAATTCTTTTCAATAAACGATAGATGTTTTACTTGTAAAAATATTAATATAGACATACCACAACTGTTATGGCGACTTGCTTTCTATCCCTACATTATTTAGAATCTACCTATTTCGTGGAAAAAAATAGGGAAATTCCGTTTATTTAGAAATCTAGATACTATTTATTTATCTTATATGCTAGTATAAAAACAAGAGTCGGCATTTATTCCTTGAAACCATGACGCTGTTCATGTTTATTTAAAACGGAATGTTACTAATCCAATTTAAATCTGTTTAACTCTGTGCTATTTTAAAAGTATCTTTGGTTTTGATACTTACGACTTACGGGCATGGGCCAAACCTCCGCTTACGCAAATACGGTTTAACTAGTGTTGAATTGGGGGGGGGGGGGGGGGGGGGGGGGCTGAACAGGCAGCAGTCCGACGAGGCCCTTGAATTTTAGAGGCACCCAAATTTAGAAAATTTTAAGACAATACAACTAATTAATGCAATACAATACAATTTTAAAAGCGTTTTATAAAATCACGAGTCCATTTTCGTGCAAACGGGGAAATAATCTCTCAGGTCTCAGACAAAGATGTAAAGTAATAAACTCGTCGCTCTTTGCCCAAACATTGCTTACTTTAGTGAATTATTTTTCTTAAATGATGAAGTATAAGCTTCCGATACCAATTGTATGGATTGTCGCACATCTGGTTATCTCTAAACAATATCTCCGCCAAACATACTACTCTAATACCTTAAAAAATCCCACTATTTTATCACATGACATGTACCATATTTATATGAAACCTCGCAATTATGCAAATTTGCATAGAAAATAAAATATCCAACTTTATTTTGCAGTACTCAAATTTTGGGTAATGAAGATACAAGGGGAAAAATTAAACCAAAACTTTTCTGTTTTTTGTGGGGTAGTCTAAATAACATTGTTAACAGGCAGCAGTTCTTTGTTTTTGGAGCTTTCTTTCCTACGTGGGTACAGTGGCGTAGCGAGGTCGGGTGTCACCCGGTGTCATCCCCCAGAGGCGTAGTGACCCTTCCCGGGGACAAACTTACAAATTTTCGATTTGCACCCCCCCCCCCCTCTCAAGTTTTTCTCTATATATTTTGCTATTCTTTTGCCTTGGTGTCACCCTTCTAAATGGTGTCACCCGGTGCGGTCCGCACCCCTCGCCCCCCCCCCCTGCCCCTCGCTACGCCTCTGGGTGGGTACTAACCCAAGCAATCGAGCTTCATCTGACGGATGATTGAAACAACTCGGGACATTCTTGAGGCCAACTGTGTGTGATCTATTTTGTGTGTAATAGATCCGGAATTTTGAAAGAGAGAGAAGAAGAATGATCACACAAGCAACCAATTCCATAAGCAACCTGTATCTGGAATCAAGCAGACATTTGGAAGCGTGAGCGTAAACTTAAAGGTAAAGGTAAACATACAATAATTTATTAAAGCCAGATAACAAGCCAACCATTGGACGGAGTGGCATAACGGTAGAGAGCTAGACTGCTAACCAATCAGTCTCGAGTTCAAATCTGGGTTCAAATCATTAGAACGTCCCAAAGTACACGCAGCTCTGATGGGTACCTAACTTACGTTTAAGAAAGTAAAGGCGGCTGGGCTTAGAGCTGACCACACTATCCCTTCATATGCTGAAGTCATCTGAAGGAGATAAACTCTACTTCATCTGCCCAAAGTGGCTTGGGCACGAACGGGAAATGGTGATGATGAACTAGCCATCCGTCATGAATGAATATGGTAATCAACAAATAATTAGATGTTTTCTTCATTAAAGTATTCTCTGTACATTATTTAGCAGTAACGCAAATTTGCGTCATACAATAATTATAATGTAATTATACAAATCTTTAGAAATATGAAAAGGTCATAAATAATATCAAGTGAAACCAGAATAATTAAAAATGCAAAACGAATTACAAAAACAATAATTGCAATGTGCATTTATGTATACTATTTAGCACTAGTATATTCCATTTATAAAGTATTTGTTGAAGATTCTAAATGGCGTACTATGACAATTATTAACATTGATCGTCATCGCATAAACTTCATGTGTTAAAATGAGAGACTCTAAAAAAGTTAACAAAACATGGCCACCTTCTAATATATGCTAAAAAACTCAAAAACTATACATTTCAAAACTATTTATACTAGACACCACACACACACACAGTATATAGGCTTTATATGTATTATATATATATATATATATATATATATATATATATATATATATATATATATATATATATATATATATATATATATATATATATATATAGCCTATATATATAGCGATTTATTTACTGGTATTTCCTTCATTGTTATTACAATTACTAATAACTACTGCAATGTGTAACACAAACATAAAATGTGTAATATTTCTAAACACGTTTATACGTTATAACATATTCAGGATAGCACTGATGGGCCTCGTATACAACAAACTCCCGGAAGTTCCAGATTCCATCTCCCATGACAGAATCAAACAATTGTTGGTTATGGCACGTACAACAATCATCGAGACAATGTACACACGGGGGTCGTCGTAGTTTTCTGCCAGCTGAGAATAATTCAATTTTTCGATTCAAATTACTGTATTGCAGAGGCGTAGCGAGGGGGGGGGGGGGCGGGGGGTGCGGACCGGGTGACACCAATTATGGGGGTGACACCAAGGCAAAAAATAGCAAAATATATAGAGAAAAACTTGAGGGGGGGTGCAAATCGAAATTTGAGGGGTGGGTGCCAATCGAAAATTTGAAAGTTTGTCCCCGGGAAGGGTTGCTACGCCTCTGGGGGGTGACACCATTAAGTGCCGCACCGGGTGACACCCGACCTCGCTACGCCACTGCTGTATTGGAATATTGTATTTTACTAGTTCGGAATTTGCAGTTAGTTATGATTGTGTGATATATTTTGGAGATCTAGCGTTATTATAAAAAAAAATTCTGCATTACAACGAATGTTAAAAAATTAATTTTAAAACGTTAACATCACTTAATATTACTAAAAGTAATGGAATCTATAGTATGATGTTATTTTGTGTTTTAATAAAAGTACATATTTTTCAACACCTTCAACGTAATTAAAAAATAATACAAAATCTAGTTCTAAATAAAGAGCGATGGTTAAATAAGTCTCAAAGACTATGAAAATTACCTTTGCTAGCGACAGACCTGTGGTTGTTGTCACACAAGAACACATTACCAAGTATTGTTCGAGTCAGGATCAGCTTTAGCTCTGTGTCGTTTGGCACTCGATTCAACTTTTCATCTGAAAAAAATATGGCATGAACTCAAGAAATCAGCACTAAATAGTTTGCATTAAATACTTTCACTGCTATGGGACGGAGTGGTCTAGCGGTAGAGAGCTGGACTGCTAACCCGTAAGTCTTGAGTTCGAATCCAGTAGACTATCCCTGAGTCCACCCAACTCTGATGGATTAGGTAAAGTAAAGGCGGTTTGGCATAGTGCTGACCACACTATCTCTTCATATGCGGAGGTCACAGAAACAAGTGAACTCTACTTCACTTGCCCAATAGACCGTCAGGTTTGAAAAGAGAACTTTACTTTTTTATATTTCACTGCTAGTCTAACCTAATCATCAATCTTAAACGTTCAACTGAGTGAGTTCGTTTTTCAAGGAACGTTAATAAAATTAATAACTTATTAATAAAGTGATATATATTACTTATTAATAACTTATTAATAAAGTGATATATATATTACCCGAATATTGGTCCGATTTCGTTACTTTTTCTGCTGTGTAGACACCACTGCCAAACATATCCCCATCATGCGACAGCCTAGGATCGAATCCGTACTTTACTATCGTATCTATATTTTCAGATTTAGCCCCATGGAACAGGTAGTGCTCGTTAATTTCATAGCACAAATCTTTCTTTAACATTTTATCAAGTACCTCTGTTGTCACTACTCTTCCTTTAGACCCGTCTATTTTTTTAATGTCGCGACATATTTTTCTGGTGGCGATAGTTTTTTCAAGCACTTGTTTTCTTTTTGCTCTGTATTTTTGGAACAGTTCAGCATTCTCAACTCTCTGAACGTCAACAACTTCTAATGTATTGTACCTTAACCCCACAGCATCAGCCCCTATACCGATCAAGTTTGGCTCCATGGTATTCTTCACTAGATTAGTAACAGCTTTTTTCGTCGCTGCGTCAACGTTTACAAGTTCATTTGTTTTTTTAGAAAATTTCATTTGCAAACGTTTCCAAAAGCCAATAGGTTTAGCTAAATCCCAGTTAGAGGGATAAGAATCGTCTTTAGCAAGAATAAATTGCAGGAACTCTACAGTTCCTCGCCGTGGTACAGGGGCAACATTAAAAACGTGTGGCGCCATTTTCGTCAGTTCATTAAACAGATCAATACTCGGTGCCAGAAGAACCACCTTGTTCAAAGCACGGACATTGCCGGAAGATTTGAGTTTTTCAAGGACCAACTGGGCCACGATTGGGGCGGGGAATCCAAAAAGTTTACTGTAACCTAAAGGCGGGAAAGAAACAGATTTGGCTCCAAGTCGTTTTGTTTCGTTTAGAACGCCCTCTACAGCTGATGCAAGTTGTGTTCCTGATGTTAAAGGGTTGTATTTGGATAAGACAACGTGGCATATCGCTGAACAATTAAGCCCGTGGGAACTTTGAACCGTTAGAACATGGGCCCCGGAATTCGACATGTAAGCCTTTTGTAGGTCAGTCCACAATAAGGGACATGCGCTGTTGAAAGCCTGGCCTACTTTCGTTTTGTTCAAATCTACTTCCGGTCCCACGACACACACGAGTACATCGGATGTTTCTCTTGTGACATCCCCATAAGGTTTGATGACAAGTCGACACGTGTCAGACACATTATAGACAAGTGACCGAGGGGATGCTCTCTGTGGAGCTGATTTGTTTCGAGAAATAGCGGAGCTCGCCATTCTTGCAGTGGTCAACGAAAGTGATGATTGTTTAAACTTTAAAACAAAAATGCTAAATAAAAAAACGTAATTGTTTCCCCATACCAAAATCTGTTTCCGGATGTATTTCCATTATTTTTTTTAATCATTGATTATTTAAGTTATATCAATTACATTTTATTTAAAGTTGAAAAACTATCTAATCTGGTTAAAACAATTTGGAGAAGGCTAACGTTGCTGACACTGGGGCCCACATTCGTCTGAAATTATAGTAAGAAAGGCAGGACTAAATGATTAAAATACACTCAATTTTTTAAAAAGTAAAGTAATCTAGTGGACTAATCAAAATTTGAAGGTCCGATTCAATATTCCATACCATTTATATTTTGAGATACACTTAGTATATTGCAGTAAATGTAATGTTATTTTCTATGATTTAAGAGACAGAAACTTTAATTTGATTTATTTGCTTACCTAATATTATATTAAGTCATATTAACACTGATATTTATTAATTAAATTAAAAGTTTAGAATTGAGGTATATTGTATACTAACGTTTACTCTGAAACTATAACTATCTTTCATTCAAAATATTTTTAAAACGTGAAGATTACCTTATTTAAATCTTTGAGATCAGTCATTCTCGTCTGTACAGCACACAATGTTTCTAAGCACATATCCTAGACATTTGGGAATTCCCAATCACTAGGAAGGAATCGCTTAGAACATTTGGTATCAGCTATACGTGTCTTGAAATACGTCCAAAGGACATTGTTACAGTTTATTGATTCGATCGTGTAGTTCATTGGGTAGAGGTGTAATATGTGGCTGAAACAGGACTTGGTTGATCTACATACATAATATGCAGTGCCGGGTGGTAGAAGTTTACATTAAATGCTATTTTCATCAACGGCTACAATTGTAGACGAATGTCAAGTACCATCGTGTTTTGTCAATTCATGACGCCCTTAAAAAATATAAAATAACCTAAGCTTGAAATATGTTTTAACAGCTTAATATATTCAGAATGAATGATATGAAAGTTGCAAATGTAGTGGGCTTGAAAACATGTCTACTTTTCTAATTATTTTCATCAAGCCTGAATTATAACCTGAAGTTTCACTTCCGTGAGGCTAAAATTGAATGGCTGTACATAAACTCTTTTATTGATCTTCTGAAAACTCCTAGTAGTGGCGTAGCGAGGTCGGGTATATATATATATATATATATATATATATATATATATATATATATATATATATATATATATATATATATATATATATATATATATATATTATTATATATATACACACTAGGAATACTGCCTAGCTTCGATTAAGTTTTCAAAAAACTTTTGAGAATTTGAATGATTAATTATTTGGTGATTGGCTGTTATGTGGAGTGCATAGGGCCTAAGCTTAAACAGTGAGTAATTTTTGTCATGCGAACATTGAAAGAGAATTGGCAAACTTATTACTCGCATGTTATCACAACTGCAAAGGCTACCTAAAAAGTATTAAACAAATATTATATTGAATTCACTTTTGCAATTAATTTTTAGAATTCCATTATAATACATAACTTAATTTATAACGAAATATCTATTTACACGAATGCTATACTCTGTGGGTTTTTTTAAATAGTATACAAATTTTAAAATGAGTACTTTAAAAAGTTACCTCACCTGTACATTTACCCAAATGACGTTGTCTTTGCTTACTTTTTCCACAAACAATTGTTTATATAAAAAAATACGGCATCTGGACAAATCTAACGACCCTAAGGGAATGTTTTTTTTGTTACCCTCAACTTTGGCTGGATAGCCCCAAGGCAGGATCCTGCCAAAGTTGAAGCGCCTTCGGCGCCGGGAAGTGCTTAATCGGGCACCCGACCACTTTGCTTTATATATATATATATATATATATATATATATATATATATATATATATATATATATATATATATATATATATATATATATATATATATATATATATACATGTGTATATGTATTCACATTTTTTATGTATTTAATTTTTTTACCTGCCCCTCCCTCCCCACCATACATGGATTAACACATACGTTATGACTATTCTTAGCCAAGACGTTTACCTCAGGCATGTTTTGCAACCTTGAGTTATGCAACTTCCCCACACTCACCCCCTTCCCCCCTCCCCACGGTGATTGCTTTAAAATGTGATCAGAAATAATACTTTTATCTATAATCCATATAATAAGTAAGTAGGTCTTATGTATATTCGAATGTGTAGGGCCTATATGTATTCACATATATTTTTTATTTATTTTTTTACCTCCCCGCCCCCATACATATAAGTTATTACAATTCTCAACCAAACCGTTTACCTCAGGCTTATGTTGAATTACTGTAATTCCCCTCCCCGTCCCCCCCCCCCATTCACCACATCCCCACCCCAAGGCGATTGCTTTAAATCGTGCTCAGATATAATACTATTTTATCTATAGACGGTTATAAATACAGCTTGATGTAGCATGTTTTCTCTATAATTAGCAGGAGGTTTACGTCATGGTGTCACACCCCCTCCCCATTCATGTCGGGATTTGTCAAATTTGCTCTTAAAAGACTATTTAACACTCTAATTAATCACTTAATTAAGTGGAATTATCATTTTTCTGTATATATTTTGGTATTTTTGGCCTTGATGTCAATCCGCTAAATGATGTCACCCGGTGCGGTACGCCCCCTCCCCTCGCTACGCCTCTGCCTCCTAGTAATTTGTACTCAAAACTTTGCCGATAACATTATTAAATAAATTATCCTTCTTTAAACCACATTGCCTAGTTGTGCCAGGTTTTTTTTGTACATTTTCAGTGGCAAAATTCAAACAAACAAAATTGTATTTAACATTTTTAAAAACGCTTGTTACAAAAAATGTTAAAAACTTAAAATACATCCAACATCAGATTTTTATAACCAAATTATTTTAGTAACACCGTGTATGATTTTTAAAATATTAAAAAAATCTTTTCGAATAATTTCGAGACTACTCTCGGTTGGGTCCATTGGCTAAAAAAAAAGATTCAACATTTTAAGAAAATACATTTTATATGTTGGACGGGGGGAAGGGAACTAAAAGTTTGGGGTTCTAAGCTAAAGATAGTTCAGCATATATGTCAGTGGCGTAGGCAGGGGGGTTGTTAGGGGGGGGGGTCATAACCCCCCCCCATTGACCCCTCGGTATATATATAAAGTATAAGGGGGGGGTGTAAATCGAAAGTTTGAGGGGGGGGGGGTGCAAATCGAAAGTTTGTCCCCGGGTTAAAATTTGACCCCCCCCCCCCCCATTGAGACGATCCTGGCTACGCTACAGATATATGTAAATCCTGTGCTGATAGTCAGACCTCGAGACCTCGCCCATTTTACAGCCTTAAGGGTAATTTTATGCTAAAGGGCGTGTCAAGAATGAATGTACACAACACGCACCACATAACACAGCAATTCTCTGCAAGCACATAACATAATTCATTTAAACAGAATTCGTTTTAAAAATGGTCTATTTAATGTTGCGGATTTTCCCGTTTTTCAGTTGTGTGTGATCTGCGTAGTTTACCGAGGCGATATTCACGGCACTGTGTGTTATATCTGGTATTCAGCACAGCTGGTAAGTTAAACCAGGTCAGCAGTGTGTAGCGAGCATTAAAAATTTATTGTAGTTTTGCTATTTTAACAAAAGGACTGAAAAATTTATTCTTTAAATTAGAAACATTAAATTAAAAGTGAAGATATTGAAAAATATATTTACATTTTTGTGTGTTTAAAAATACAAGTTTAAAAAGAAATACTGGCATACATATTTGTAATGAAAGTTACGCTTTATGAGTTTAACTACAGCTCTATCGACTAGATAATTAAATTTTTACTATAACAAGAGCTAAAGAGATCATTTGCATATTTCCGTTTGTTGTTTCTAAAGGAAATAAGAAATTTGTAGTACGTTGGATCTTGAAATGATGCTGCATTTTTTTTTAAATTTTCAACACACGCTTCAAGTGTTAGATACCCCCCCCCCCCCCCCACCCCCGCCCCGCGTCTTGGAATATGTTGGTGAGCGATTTTTACCTATCATTGACCTACGTGTATTTTATTTTAATGTTAAACAAACAAGTTAGAAAACAGTTTGATCATTATGTAAAGCATTGTAGACGCATAATTTCTTTACGTTTACTGTGTATAATTTTAAATATAAGCTTAAAATAAGCTTTTTAATTAATTTATTTTTCCTAATAGGTTTGGCGTCCCCTAGCTTCGCTTATGTGCTTTCTAGGAAAGGTTTTTCGATGTCCGGGATGGGTAAACCACCCTGCTGAGTTATCATATGTCGGAGAAATGTTTTCGTTGTAGCTTGTTAAAGCAGAAGTAACACCATACTGCTACTAACGTGACACATTGTGCTGTTTTGTTGCTTTGCTATTTCCAGTGGACACTAGTGTTTTCTTCTCTCGTCGGTAAGAAAACAATTGCAATGACCATTTACTGTTTTACATCGAATTTGGCTGTCGTTTTTGTTTAGTTCTATTTATTTGTGCGTATCTTTTTTACTTTCTCGTATATACGAAGTATAGAGAATGTCTTGTAATCGTGCAAAAAAATATAGAGATTTTTACAAATCTCGACGTCTGTGTGTGTGTCTGTGTGTGTGTCTGTGTGTGTGTAAACACGATAACTTGAGTACCGTTACAGCTAGGTTGATTAAATTTCAAGTGTAGGTATTTTATCAAAATCGTAGATCCGTATCAACTTTTGAGCGATTTCCGATAACCGGTAGTGGTACTTTTTCTACTTTGAATTTTTCCAAAGCCTATAACTTGAGTACTATTTCAGATAGATAAATGAAATTTCACATGTAAGTAAAAGATCTAATTCTCTACCTTTTATCAAATTTTGAGTAATTTCCATTGACCAGAAGTACTAATTTACGCTATTTCCGATTTCTCAAAAAAAAACGGATGTAAATTTATAAAGTACTAATAATATTGCGTACTATTATGCACATTTTGTTTTGGCGTTCGCTTGGTGCGCAATTCTTTTTTTCTACTAGATTTTATTCTATTTTTAAAAGTTTAAGTAAACAAAAATCATGTCTATATTAGTATATTCCGAGTTGCCATCCCACGTAGTGTTACATTAGAATATTCGAGAAAGTTTAGGGGAGATCACTCCCGGTTTATTTTATTATATATTTTCTTTAATTATATATTGCGTGTGATTTCAGTCCTATTCTTTGTCGCAGACATCTCTCGAGGCAACTTCTATTATTGTGTGCCTTCCTCAAGTATGACATCACCCCCTCACCCCTCGCCGGAAAAATGTATGAAAGACACCCTGGATTATAATTCTACAATAATAACAACGCTTACAGCTCTATACGGAAAACCTCAAATAATTTACTCCTTTATTTAAGATAACCAATTTTACAACCAGTTTCGATGTTGGTATGTTAGCTGCAATTTTTCTGAGAAAAATTCCACTGGAGCATTTAAATTAACTCATGAAATAAAATAGGCCAACGGTCCTTCAAAGCCCAGCCCGTCACTAGCAGGCATGTGGAATGATGTTTGCTCGATCAACAGACAAGCCTACGTGATAAAAGAAGGAATCTAGATTCTGTTTGCTTCTTCACCAGAGTAGTTATGTCCTGCACAAACTTAAGCACATCGTCTTACTGTCTCATCTTACAGGCCAGTTAAGCTTCAATGGCTTAATTAAAAAATAGTATTGAAATTACTGTTCGAAATAAGTTAATGCTACTTTCGCATTTTTGTAGACATAAATGAGGTAGAATATATATATATATATATATATATATATATATATATATATATATATATATATATATATATATATATAGCTGAAATACTTAAAGTAATTTCATCATTTTTTCCCGTTTGTCACCAGACACATATTGGGCAGATATGGTAGAGTTCGTCTTTTTCAATGCATCTGTTTTAATGAACTCGACATTCGAACTCGGGACTTTTAGGTTAGCATTTTAGCTCACTACCATTAGACCACGCCGCCCCCTTAAAGTAATTTAGCTTCTAGGAATTTTGCGAACATACAAGAACAGTTGATGCCTAAAGTAAGTCTCGTACCACATTTCTCCCAAACAGCGGCACAGGGGCCGCCTCTGACATCGTGGGGCTCAACAGACTGATGGCTGCAAGTTTTCTACCGTCACGTCCAGGGCTTTAAACGTGGGTCTCCTTTTGTCTAGGCAAGGGCTGAAGATGCTCGTCAATCATCTCATCCAAGGCAGGTGTGGCTGAGCTGGTATTTGGTGAGTTTGTGTCAGTATTTGGTGAGTTTGCCAGTATTTAGTGAGTTTGTGCCAGTATTTGGTGAGTTTGAGTCAGTTTATGGTGAGGTTTTGTCAGTATTTGGTGAGGTTTTGTCAGTATTTGGTGAGTTCGTGTCAGTATTTGGTGAGTTTGTGTCAGTATTTGGTGATGATTTTTCAGTACTTGGTGAGATTGTGTCAGTATTTGGTGAGGTTGTTTCAGTATTTGGTGAGGTTTTGTCAGTATTAAGTGAGGTTTTGTCATGTATAAGCTGAAGAGATGTTATCTTTTTCTTGATGTGCTGTCAAGTAAGATGTGAGGCGGTGTCAAATATTTCGAGTGGTTGTGTAATGTATGTGCTGGAGTGTTGTCATGAATTCGATTAAGTGTGCTTAAAAAATCAATATTAACTCCTCTTTGGATCAATACTTCCTAATTCATTTAGTTTAACTAAAACAAAAATTTTTGATTCCAGGGTATGTTTTTCTATTTTACAGAAAATTGTCTTGTTTTGCTAGCAGATGTAACATTGGACATTTGAAACAGTATGGGGTTAACGCTAGTAGCCACAAGATGACCCACAACATCAATCTGATTGAAGTGTCAAAATATGGCACCAATGTTGCTATCATTGAGTTCATTAAACAAGCTGAAGACGCGGGCTACACTTTCTATCAAGACGCTTTAGACTTTTCTTTAATCGAATCTTGCAACAGAGGCCTCAAGACCTTGGATCAATTCGTCGTCAGTCTAGGCGCAAATGTCAACAAAAAAAGAGAAAACGGAGACACGCCTCTGCATATTAGTGCTGGTAAAGGTTTCACAGATATTTGTAGGTTACTTCTAGCAAAGGGCTGTGATATTAACGCACTAAATGATGATGGGGATACGCCTCTGATGGCAGCAGTTCAGCCGTCTGGTTCTATTGAACTTATTCATTTGTTGTTAGAGCAGGATAACGTTGATATAGATCACAAAAACAAAAATGGCGTCACGGCTTTGATGAAAGCTTTCGAAGATGGACATAAGGATGTTGTGAATCTCTTGCTAAATTTTGGAGCTACTCTAGACGGCAAAGCAGGATCTACTGGTACCGAGACAGAGAATGCAAATTATAAAGCAGGTAGACTTAACAATGTCCATGTTACACAGTTATTGAGTAATGTCATAAACGATAACACCTTGATAGCAGCAGCTATTGTCAATACAATTTACTTATCACACAATAGTTACGGCATTCTGGTCCAACTTTTGGCGTCCATCAAAAACGGAAACAGGTGCGTGAATAAACACGTTCTTCAAATTTTCCAAACTCTGATTAAATGTGGATTTGACGTAAACTGGAAGTCTGATTCTGGTGAGACTCCTCTGGTTCTGGCTGTGGAGATTGGAAGTGCAGAACTTGTTGAGATGTTGTGTTCGTTTGGCGCCAGACTCTCCGATAAAGAGGTCACAATTGCCGCCCGACAAGGACGTAACGACATCATATCATTGCTGTTATACTACGGCGCCCCAGCCTGTGGGTCGGCCCTTGAAACAGCTTTAGCTTCTGAACACATTGACACGGCACAAAACCTGATTCAACACGGTGTGGTTTTAGACGTTGCAGTGTCCATGACTACGGCGGTTATCCAATGTAGCAAAGACGCATTAAGATTTATTGCCACTAATTACCCCAACGAATCAAAAAAGATCGCGGAAGATACAAACAGAGGCTTGCTACACGCAGCAGTGAAGCTAGGCGATGTTGATATTGTTAACATTTTGTTGGACTTGAATGCTGATGTTAATGGTGTTTACGACAACAAAACGCCTTTACTGACAGCAAATCACGAGACTGTGATTGATCTGTTGGTGACCAGAGGAGCGGAGGTAAATTATAAAGATGATGACGGGATGACTGCGCTGCATCACGTTGTAGAAAACAATTGCTTTGAAAAAGTTAAGATTCTTGTACAGAATGGAGCGGACACAAATGCTCAAAAACTATACGGAAAAGCACCTTTACATTTGGCGACCTTGGGTGGTAACATTGAGATTATTCAGTTACTTCTACAGAACGATGCAGATCCCCAGTTACAGGATAGCGACGGGGACACACCTTTAATTATTGCTGTGAGGAAGGCCGAGAAAGATCCATGGAATGGTCAAAGAGCAATTGAAATATTGATTGAAGCTAGTTCCGACTTAATTGTGAGGAATCGTAATGGAAACTGCGCGTTACACATAGCGGCACATCAGGCGTGTCACGAGGCTTTGAGAAGTTTAATTGATGCCAAAGCTGATCTAAATATAACTGACAAACATTCTGCCACAGCCTTGTCCCTAGCTCTAGATCAACTTCATATCTTAGACTATGGTTTCGATTGTGTCTCCATTCTACTGGAACACGGTGCAACTGTCCAGTTTGTCCACCCTGAAATGATCCACCGACTGACGTCACTTGGGTGGAGCAGAGTCGTACAGCAGCTCATCCAGCGAGGGCTGCCACCCAGTGAGATCGTGTTTTTAAAGAACTCGTGTGGCTGGCCCACATCCACCCCCGTCACGCCCTTCTCTGTGGCCCTGTTGATGGAAAACATCGAGCTGGCCAGTTTTATGCTGGACGTCTGGTACTTGACGCCGTCTGATGTACGGACACTGTCTGGTCAAACGTCTGTCACAGACTCGTTGAGGAGAAAAGCTTTGTTTCGGTCAGTCAACTTTCTGGAAAAGGCGACAGTAAGACTATTGACACTAGAACAACTTTGTTTCATTAACCTTTCCACCTACATTGGTACTGATGCAACTAGAATGGAACAAATTGACAAGATGCATTTACCGAACATCTTTAAAAACAAGCTGAAGTTTAATACAACACAGATCACTCTGGGCTAAAAAGAGTATCCGGAAGACCAACTCTTGTACTACTTTATTGAAATGTATGGTAGTAAGCCCTTCAAAAGATACAACTTGTAATCGTTAGAATTAGCTGAGAAGATGCTCAGTTAGCTTGAACTTGCCAATAGCTCTGCTTTCGCAAGTATAGCTCCAAGGATCATGGAAGCACGTAAGCTGTTATACAACGGCAAGGCGTTATATCGGATCATAGATACATTTTACCTTGTTATAATATATTTTAATAAACCGGGAGTGATCTCCCCTAAATTTTCTCAAATATTCTTATATAAAACAACAGGGGATGGGAACTCGGGATATAGTTATGATTTTTAATCCATTTTAAATACTTAAACTTTTTAAAATAAAATAGAATCTCATAGGAAAAAGCATTGCACACCAAGCGAACGCCGAATAAAGATGTTCATAACAGTGCAGAATATTATTAGTACTTTATAAATTTAGATGCGTTTTTGAGAAATCGGAAATAGCGTAAATTAGTACTTCCCGTCAGCGGAAATTACTCAAAATTTGACAGAACGAAGAGAATTAGATTTTTTACTTACATGTGAAATTTCATTTATCTATCTGAAATAGTACTCAAGTTATAGGCTTTTGAAAAATTCAAAGTAGAAAAAGTACCACTTCCGGTTATCGGAAATCGTTCAGAAGTGGATACGGATCTACGATTTTGATAAAATACCTACACTTGAAATTTCATCAACCTAGCTGTAACGGTACTCAAGTTATCTTGTTTACACACACACACACACAGACACACAGACATACGGACAAGATTGCAAAATTATGTTTTTCCGTATCAGTGAGATGTAAAACGTCGAGATTTGTAAAAATCTCGTTTTTTTTTTTTGCACGATTACAAGACTTTCTCTATACTTCGTATATACGAGAAAGTAAAAATAACTCAACATTTTGGTGTTGCAGTGATATTTTACTTTCTTGAAATCTTAGGTAAATTAAATATTTAAACGCATGAATACTACATTGGTAGTATTTTATTTAGAATATTTTTCTTTTTTCTTTGGAAAATTAATCAAACATCTAATTAATTATGTCGCATTACAGCTTGATTACCTTGAAACACGTCAGTTGGGTTGGAGTTGGTAGGAATCTGTTTGCAAGTTTCACCGTCATGAATACAGACATGATGGTAAATAAATATGTATAAATAAAACAAATCTTGCTTGTAATAAAATACGTATAAAGATTGTGTGATTGAGAAGCGCAGCTATCCGGGGCGTAGCGACCCTTTCCAGCGTTCGTGGCGAACTATCCATACTGAGCACCCCCGCCCATCATATATAGGGTTGTCGCCCTTGGAAGCTATCATTTCTTGACCCCACGATTTGAGTTTTTTTTTTTTAGCCCATCTCAAGCCCAAGGCTACCTGGTAAGGTGGCCGACAGGGAGACACCAATAAGGAGTTAAAACAATTTTAAATATTACAATAAGGTGAATTATACAGTCGACCTTAAGAAAATAGACTTCTAGTGAGTGATCATAATGAATTAACTGTTTTTTTACATTGATGTAAAAAAAACAATCGTACGTAATTGGTGAAAATGTTACAAAACAAAAGTTGGGTCAATCCAATGCTACAGTGTTAGGAATTCTACGACGATTAATTCTACGAGACAGTGCAATGTGACTATTCCTGTATTCGTTTAACCCAGGGGTCTCCAAACTACGGCCCGCGGGCCGGATGCGGCCCGCGAGGCTGTTTTATCCGGCCCGCGGACAACTTTTTAGCTGCGGAAAAAATTACGGACCTTTTTTTTTGTTTTGCCGTTCTCAGCAATAAAAACCCAAACATATCTGCCGAAACCAGTGATTTTATTGTTTAGGTAGAAAAAAAAACCTACAATCAAACACACTGACGTCGGCATAATTCTTTTTTAAAAAAAAACGTTAGCTCGAGAAGCCGCTAGATATGTAGTGGGCTTTCATCCGAGCTCTCTTACTTCTAAAATAAACCACGCTGTCGTCGGCACAATTCTTTGAAAAAAAAAACAACAAAGTCTCTAGCTCGAGAAGCCGCTAAAAATATACTGGGCTTTCATGATGTACGTTCCTTCTTTGTGGCATTGGTTAGGGGCCCGAAGTCCGTTGTACATTTTCAATGTAAAATATGTGTTTGTGATTTTCGTATAGCTTCTATCCTGTACTATTCTGTATCCTACAAATTATCAAAAATAATATAATACTAGAAACTTAGGTTTTACATACGTTTACTTGTTTTTACTTTTACAAGAAATGTCATAGTAAGCTTGTAGTGCCTATACTTTGAATTATCTCCCCTGAGAAAGTTTTATAATTGACTTTTGGAAAAGTACCATCCCAAACTTCAGACGTACATCGGCGCTTTGTTGTCTTTTTCATGTTTTTTTTTCCCGAGCCGACCCCCATCCCACCCCTCTTTCTAGCATCGCAAGTATCGAATAGAGATAAATGTATCGTTTGTCAACTTCCTAACCGCGCATTCGCCACTTTAAATTGTGTCAGACACTAGCAAGCACTGGTCAGCAGACAAATTTTTACTTGCATAGTATTTGGTGCATCTGATTCACAGAACAAACAAGGTAGGATAATGTTTATATTGTTTAGAAAAGGTTAACCATTAGTAAATAAATAAATTGGACACCATTTATAGTCATTTACTGGTACCAAATGACGTCATTTAGGGGCGAGGTTCAGGCTTTTGGTGAGTTGTTTAAAAAACATGACATGTTGTGGATGGCCCCTAAATCAGGAGGTTATCCAACGCTTGAGCTGACACATATAAAAAAAAAACGTTTTTGTAATTATTACGCATTACGACATCTTTCATCCGATCGCCATGAAAATTTCGGTAGCGTTTGAGTACAGCCCTGCAAAGGTTTCATGTTAGGCCCCACGACGCCTCTTACACCTAGCTAGGTCGTAACCAAGGGGTAATCAGCGTAAACTGAGGCCTACAGCATCTTTGGGCATCGCATAATCAGGTGTTTTTTTTTAAGCGATATCGTGTTTCACTATTTTTTTCACGTTGAATTCATTTATTTAGCTCTCATCGATGGCCGAGAAGAAGAAAAGGAAAATAGACGATGAGTGTCGGAAAGTTCAAGAAGAATGGAATTTGAAATACTTCTTCATAAAATCCGGAGATAAAGCACTGTGTCTGATTTGCAATGAAACCGTGGCTGTGATGAAAGAATACAACCTGCGCCGTCATCATCAAAGCAAACATCAGGGTAAAGATGTACAGTTGGAGTGTAAAGTCCGTGCCAAAACATATTCTAAATTTAAAAAATCAACTCACATCTCAGAGGACGTTGATCAATAAATCCTCAAATGAAAATGAAGCCTTAACAAAGGCCAGTTATAATGTTGCTTATGTCCTGGCTAAAAGTGGCAAACCGTTTACAGATGGTGAAGTAGTGAAGGAATGTTTGATGAAGGTGGCTGAGGAACTTTGCCCAGAAAAGTCAAAACAATTTGAAAATGTAGCTTTGGGTGCAAATACAATCGCCCGCCGTGTTGTAGACATTGGTGAAAACATTGTGACTCAAATAACGAAACATGCAAGCAAGTTTCGCCATTTTTCAATTGCAATGGATGAATCGCTGGACAGCTGTTCCACCTCTCAACTTCTTGTGTTCATTAGAGGTGTGAATGAAGAAATGAACATAACACAAGAGCTGGCTTCTCTACATAGCATGTATGACACTGTTACCGGAGAGGATATATTCAATAAGTTGAAAAAAACATTTGCTGATTATAACTTGGACTGGTTTAATCTCAGTTGCCTGACTGTGGATGGAGGAAAGAACATGAGTGGCATAAAGAAAGGCTTGGTTGGACAAGTGAAGCAGATGTGTAATCAGAAAAACATTCAACAACCAATGTTCCTGCACTGTATTATTCACCAGCAAGCTTTGTGTGCTAAATATATGGACATTAGCAGTGTACTGAATCCTGTGGTGAAGATGGTGAATTTGATAAGGTCACATGGCCTCAACCATAGACAGTTCAGAGACACGTTGAAAGAAACAGACACAGTATCGCAAGATTTACCATATTACACAGCAATAAGATGGCTAAGTTGTGAGAAAGTTCTTAGCAGAGTATTTAAGTTAAGAAAGGAAATAGGTTACTTCCTGGAAAGTAAAGGCAAGCCACAGCCATTATTGTCTGATGAAGAGTGGGTATGGAAATTGGCCTTTGCTGCAGACATAACTAGTCATTTAAATTTTCTGAACCTAAAATTACAAGGGAAAGAAACTATAGTTTCTGATTTATACACCCACATAAAGGCTTTCAGATCTAAACTTGTCTTGTTTTTGGAACACGTAGAGGCCAACAACTTGACGCACTTTCAGCAGTGCAAGGACTTCATGGCTGAAGCAACAGCTAAATTCATTTGCATGCGAGATCACCAAAGACCTCCAGCTGCAGTTTCAGCAGCGGTTTTCTGATTTAGATTCAAAGGCAGAAGAAGTGAGACTTTTTCAAAACCCTTTTGATGCAGATGTGGCCAGGTGCCCAGATGAACTGCAGATGGAAATCATTGAATTGCAAGCAAATGACCTCCTTAAGGACAAGTTTAAAGAAGGACTGGCTGCTTTTTACAAGTTTTTACCCAAGGAATACTTTCCTAATGTCAAAAATTTTGCATCCAGGTACCTTTCTATCTTTGGAACAACGTACCTGTGTGAACAAACATTTTCAAGAATGAAATACGTGAAGAACAATTTGAGAACAAACTTGTCCGATGGTAACCCCAGGTCACTGTTGATGTTGGGAACTTCAAATATGAAGCCTGAAATGTCTGCTATTCTGGCATCCAGGAAACAGTTTCACCGTTCTCACTAATACAGGTTTCCACGTGTAGTTTATCAATGTATTATTACACCGTTACTGAATAAATAATATTTAATTAATAATAAAAAACACAGTAGCGTAGCGAGGGGGGGGGGGGGGGTGGCGGGGGGGGGGGGGACATATGTCTCCGGGCGCCGATCTTAGGGGGCGCCAAAATGGGTTGGAAAAATAA